CTAAGGCGAAGTAGGTTTGAGAGGCAATACCACTATGTTCATTAGCGGTCTGCATAAAGCTAATGCAACTCTATAACGGACTTGTTGGACTCGAACTATGCCAACGCTTCTCCTTCCAAGATTTTGAATGCAACATGCATGTCTCAGGCTCATAGCCATAACAGATAATATGTGCTTCCTTGGCTCTGGAGATGGAGTAGCTCGGAATAGCCCATCTTCATTTCATGGGTTGAAGCAATCACAACATCGTATGAGTGCAGAAACGGTCTATGAAATTATGCGGGCTTTGGATGTCTGCAGTACACGAAGATTGCGAATGGCAGAGCATATTGACGAGAAGAGTGATGGAACTCGTCACTGCATTCCATGTTCAGTACAACATCAGTCCAGTCTACCAGCCACTAGTCCCCCTTGTACGGGGTATATTTATACACTGTTCTACGCGTCAGTTTCTGGCGCTAGAATCCCATCCGGGAAACAAAACTGAAGACTCTTGAGCAGAGAGCAGTCGGTTTCGTGCCACTTAGATCGTCGATAGCTCAAAATCACAATGACGCTGTATGCGGCACCAGGATACAACAGATAGCACGAGATGGCGAATATGGTGCGGTTTTCGGTCCATATTGACCTGACGACGCTGAGTGCGACTCTGACTGTTCAGAACATAGATTCACGATAGCTTCAGCCTCACCAGCGCCACGACCAATAATGCAAAAGACGTTTGATATGGCGCGCGATGGGTGGAATTGGCGTCATTTGGTCTCTCAGTACGACTTTTCACGTTTTGCTCATCACTGTTTTCTAATGTCAAACTCGCTCCCCAACTCCCATCATCGGCATCGGCCCAGCCTTGTTAATGTAGCATTGCCCTTCTTGAAAGCTCACAGATGCTGTCTGCTGAAAAACTCGTTATCAGTTTGCCATTTCCAAGTCACTATATTAACCGTGCCCTTTCCAATTTGCTGTCAGTATACTCGGTCTTTCCACTTTCCAGATACAGCATGAGATGGTCCTACAATGTTTTACTGCCAACTTACCCCCTTTTTGATCTGGACACTAGCCTAGTCTTACACGTTGGGGCGGGCGCTTTTGCATTCAAGCTACCTGTGTCACTTCTAAGCTCAGTCCACCCACCATTCTTGATCCTCAAAATAGTGCTCTCCCTCCATGCCTCCACCGAAGTATGCCATATGACGGACATATTTCAAGTATATGCTAAGCGCAGTTTCGTCGGTCGAAGAACCTCTCCCAGCCAGCACCTCGAAATAGAGCGCCTTCTTCAACTCCTCTGATGATCCCATCAGGCCTTCGGCCGTTTCGCGAAGCAGTCGGGTCACAATCTCCTGATCATCCCAAACATCGCTAACGGCAACGTCCTCCCCGCGCTGTCTCGTCTCAGCCACAACTGCTTTCTGCAGCCCTTCGACACACCGTACCGTCGCGTCGGCAATGACGCAGGACCGTCGGGCAAGGGGTCTGATCTGCACGGGAAACTCGCTGTGCACCCTAAGCGGCTCTGGGTTCGGACTTGGCATCGCTAACCCGACCTCTGGTCCTGCCGAAGACGGCGCTTTCGGCATGGACACCAGTAGACCGGGCCCAGTGATCACCTCACCGGGCTGGAAAACCAGGGCGACGGCGCCGTTCCTGATGAGCTGCACCAGATCGTCGTGCCGATCTGCGATTGCCTTTGGCCTTGATTCCTCATCTTCTCCAGATGACCGTAGATTAATACTCCCATCCCCCTTTCCGTCTTTTGGTTCCTCGTATACTCGAGCTGCATACCACTGATCACCGCCCGTCGGGACCTTGATCATCAGGACGCGTGGGACGACCGTTTCGCCTCCTGCTTCTGCATCTCTGCCGTTCCCATCACCCTTCTCATCAGCCGATCGCGGTCCCGTGGGGAGCAGTCTTCCCACCATCCCGAGGCCGCCGAAGCAGTTGAGCTTCGCGCCGGGAAACCTCACTCTCAGACCCTCATCTTCGATCCAGGCCGGGTAGGGGCTCGAGGGCCAGACAGACATGTTCCCGTATTTGGCATACTGCACCAACGTCCGCGGCGCCCAGCGAAAACCGGGCACCTGAATACGCGGGACGCGCGAGAAGATGACGTCACCCGGCAGTCCAGAGGCGCCCTGCAGCGTCTCGACCCTGAGCCACAATTGACACATGCCGTCCTCGGGCGTCTCCCCGTCACCGATAAGAGGCTCAACCTCCCCGCGCGTCGTCTTGATGCGCAGATCCAACAGCGTAGCTAGGCATATCACCTCATCGGACGCAACCGTCAGGCTCCGGTACTTGAGCGCGTTGACCAGCATTTGCAGGAAGAGATTCAGCGGTTGCCCGGGGGTGTTGGTCTCATCAGGGCGCTGCCACATGCTGACGCTGAGGTCGCGGAACTCTGCGATGAAGCGGAAGGCCAGTGAGGCTTCGTGCTTGGGAGCCTGCTTCAACAGGTTGACGACCGATTCAAGGGAGAGGAGGCCGTCACGGAACGCGAAGCAGAGCCGGTCGCCAACCCCTCGCGCTCGTGACGCGCCGGCGAGGACGCCTTCCTGAAGGGTCCACATGCGACGCATCCACGGCGATGTGTAAATATGCGCGGCGACATCGATGAGACCCTTGGAGGTGTCTGCGAAAATATCCCTAACACTCGTCGCCTGGAGGACCGCGCTCTTGACGAGCACGCCATAGGCGTTTGCATAAATGTCCCGCATCCTCGACAGGCACAAATTCTTACCGTACCCCGGAGTCGCGGGGCAGCACATTGTGTCGATCCATAGGTTGATCTGCCGTATTTTCGGTTTCGTCTGCACGCTGATTCCCGTTCCCGTCGTTTCCTTCTCCTGGAGCTTATCTTGGATGGCCTGACAGGCCATCATCGACCAGTGCATCACATACGCGAGTTGGCAGAACGGCAACGTGTTCGCTTGCACGTTTCCCATTCCCTCAGACCAAACGTGGGAGAGTGCGATGTAGTGGTTTTCGGGATCCTTCTGAGACTCTTGGTCGATGCTGATTGAGGTCAATGCCACCCCGAGACCGCCGTCCTCGAGCCTGCCGATGGCGAAGCAGGGGATGTCCCCCTTTTGATAGATCTCGATGAGGTGCCCCTCTTCAAAAGTCATCATGCCGGGGCATTCGCACCCAGGACTCTCGTGTTTGGGCACCGCTGGGATTCTGAGATTGCACCCGTACTCTCGGCAGTCCCTGTGCAAATCAGCCGCCGTGGAGTCGGCCTTGAAGTTTTGCAGGTAGTAAAACGCCTCAATGCTCGTGAAGGTGTCCCGAATCTTGCCAACGTCGCCGGGACACCAGCCCGCCTTGATCATGGCTTTCTTGGTTTCGGGGCTCAGCGGATCCAGGAGGGGTGCAATGGTTGAGAACCACTCATATCTGGGTCGGGCTGGGAAGTGCTGTTCGTCATGATTCATCTCTAAGCGGCAGTCTTATCAGCTTATTGTTCAGCTGGAACGAGACGGTGCCCAGCCATCGTGTCGGCGCAGGGCGGATTGTCACCAGAGTCTTACCCGCCACTGGCCCATGCTCTAGAGCCGTCTGCACAGCCGCGTCCAATGTCTCAGCCACGCTGGCCAAACAGATCATTTCGTCTCTGAAGACGCGAAGGAAGCCGGGGAATGTGGAATCGATACTGTCAAGGGCGTGGAACGCCGTCTCGAGGCATTCGTCGAGGTGTTTGTGATATTCGTCGCCACGCCGAATGCTGGATAGACGTCCGGTTTCCCTCCATACTGTCAAGTCCTCGTGCAACGACTTGGTCGAAAGCGCAGCGCTGCTCAGCTGTCCGTCGTCGTCAAAGGTAAAAGACATGATTTTCCTCCGTGCATCATATTCGCCCTCATCTCCGAGAAATTCCTTGATGAGAGCAAAGAACAGCCATCCTTGGTAGTAATCGAGGACGTTGTAGCTCGACACCCCGGCTGAGAAACGGCCCTGGAGCGCATCGGCTTGGGTGGGTACGTGTGGATACTGGCCGCTAAGAAGAGCGCCGTACCGGTTTGGGTAGTCGAGGAATGGTCCGGGGTTGTGGAACTGAGCTGTCGCGAGCTTGATCACCGGGTGCTCGTTGATAGGGTCGCGTGGCAGAGGGAGATGTTCCATCTTTGATGTTTAAGCAGCTTGTTGGAATGAAGAGAAACCATCAAAGACGAAGGATTTATGAAGTAAAAAAAGCGGATGAGATGGGATTGAACAGAGGCTGACGAAGTCTGAACAAGCCGATCACAGACAGGGGCTTTCGGCACTTTGCTGCCTAATTACTGCAGGCAGGCAGGCAGGCAGCCATCCATCAGTTTGACGAGGCCATGTTTTGCTTAGAGCCTGATTGATGACTGCGTTAATCCTGCGTTAACAGCCGTACCATAATAAGAAAATACATTTTGACAAGTCGACCTGTTAATCCGTGCCGCACAGTCTGTTCTGATCTGGCAGACACTTGCATTATAGTGAGGTCAGCATGCCAAGCCATCAACCCGGGTGTTGTGCGATTCGATCAAGATGACTGACCTCCTGCAGCATAACCACCTAGTTGACCAAAACCCGCTCTTTTCCTCATGCTCCTACAAATCAGCAGCATGCGGACTCTAGGATCTCCTGGAATGCTTGAAATCTCTCCAAAAGGCTACTACACATCGTCTTTGTTAAAGTCGAACGCGCAGGTTGTCACACTTATCAATGTCTCTAGGGAAAATCATGGCGATGCTGATATAAGGCCATGCAAAGTACCTAGAATGAGTAATCAGTACGTACCGGTGTTTCCTTGGAGTACTTACCCACAGATATGACGAGTGGGTCTTATTTGGGCAATTGACGAATCACAGACGTCAATTAAGCGAAATGAGGTGGTGGTGGTGGTAGTTTTAGATGGCAAGTGCGCATCGTGGAAATTCTGGGGGAGGAAGGCGCGGAACCGAGTCGCGCGCTGTTGTCTTTGCGATCTGATTTCCTACCTAATCTCCTCTTGCTTCTCCTCTGCCACCCGCACACTATTCCTTCGACACCACCGGCGACAGCTGCACATCGCCGATGATCTCACTCCTTTGAGTCGACTGTCGGCCGCAACTGCGGCTGGCATAGTCCTAATCGCATCACTGTCACCAAAGTCACTCATTCAGATACACTACTGCCCACCGGGGCTCCGCTCGGCCCCCCCTGTCGCTCTTTTCCGCAATGCGCGGCGCCGCTCTCTCGTCGACGTCGCAGACGCTGCTTCTGCCCCTCGTCCTCGTCCTCCTCGCATTCTCGACGCCCGCCGTCGTCGCCGACGGCACCGTGTGGGCCACCCCCCATGACAGCTACTCGTCGTCCGTGGGCGTGCTCGGCTGCAAGATCAATACCGACCGCGTCGCCTACTGGCCCGGCTCCGTCGACTGCAACAACCTCTGCATCTCCCTCAGCTACGACGACGGCAAAACCAACAAGCGCACCGTGAAGCTCCTGCGCATCGACCAGTCCCAGGGCGCCCACGACATCAGCTACGACGCCTGGAACTACCTCTACACCGGCAACTCGGCCAAGGAGTTGCCCGTCGCCGGCGGCCCGCTCGCCATGGAATACGCCGAGCTGCCCGCTGACGAGTGCCGATCGCTGCTCCGGACCAAAGACAAGAAGCTGGCCCTCAGCGCCTCCAACAGCATGAACTTCCTCGCCAGCTGCCTCGCTCAGCCCGACAGCTGGGTCGCCAAGAACTACGCGCTCTATAATATGCTCGACTCCATCTGCTCCTGGGGCTACGACGAGGTGTGCAAGCTCGACTGGCCGGCCGCGAACCAGCCCACCTGCAAGCACTCGCTCGGCATGCCGGTCGAGCTCAAGGACGACCCCGTATACAACGTGCAGTACCCTAGCGGCGACGTCGTCGTCGCTTCCACCGGCGAGAAGGTGTCATCGCCCGGCCACAGCACGAGCCCGGCCGCGCAGACCCGGAACGGCGGACCGGGGCGCGTGGCGATGGCGCTGTTTATGGCGGGGTCCCTGCTCTGGACCTGTCTGGTGCTGGGCTAGCGTTGATGAGGTTTTGGAGGTTGAAGAGAGGGAATGTTGATACCATACGAGATACCATGTATACCCCCCCACGTCGTAGGACGATAATGTTAAATACCACTTGATAAGCTCTTTATTGCCGTGTATCACGGGTGCGCCCTAGTATCGAACCGTCGACCGTTATGTCTTGGAATTTCTTGTTTCACCAAGAAAGCTCCATGCCGCAGAGCCATGGCCACGTCGGCTTCCTCGTAGATTCACACCCCGGGTCCGCAATTGGAGGAGCAGTTATCGCAGAAGATGTCCGCCATTCTGGACGAGAGATCGCTTACCAAGGTAACCAGTCACCGGATTCTAACCCCTTTTTATTCTATCAGAGATGCCCAAACGGGCTTCTGCCGCTTTGATTCCGAGCCCCCCGGAGGGCTACTTGCTATTCTTTTGTCTAAAATGCTCCGCTACTGTTGGTTCCAAAGGGACAGAAAAGAAAAGATCGCTCTCTCGCCACGTATATAATGAAAAGAAAAAAATCCATGAAAATAGCCGACGATCCACGCCTTGCAGGTAATGCAAAAAGCAACACTGGATTGCGGAACAAAAAAAGGTTGGAGAGACGCACGACAGTTTACGGCCTGGTTTTTCCCCCCTCCCCCCTAGTTGGTCTTGTAGCCGCGGAACTTCTCCCGGATCTCGTCCTCGCTGAACTTCTTCGTGTGGCGGCGCAGCATGGCGGCGCGCTCCTCGAGCGTCATGGCGATCTGGTCGCCGACCGGGACGAGGCGTCTGGCGAGGTGCAGGTAGTCCTTGCGGAGCAGGCGGACGGTGATCATGAGGTAGTCGATGTCGTGGAAGACGAGGGCCTTCTCCCGGATGTACGTCTTCTTCTGCTGGAGGAAGGACGTCGGGTGGTCGCGCCAGTGGCGACGGGGGTTCAGGTGGTGCGAGGTGTGGTAGCCGTCGTTGTAGCAGTAGCGGTTGCTCTTGGGGGGGGGGCGTGTGTTAGCTTTACTCTGTTACGGTTCTCTTGTGCTGAGTGAACCCCCATCGAAGGGGGGAAGATGGGGAGGAGGGGGAGGGGGAGGCTGTAGCGGGATGGATGTCTTGGGAGAGATGCTTACCGGCACGTCAATGAGGGTGATGCTGGAGCGAAAGTCCGAGTCGGGCTCGTCGGCGTCGACGAAGGCGTGCTGACCCCAGTTGCCGACCATGAGGCCGAGGCGGAGCAGCAGCAGCGGGGCGAGGAGGACGAAGGCGGTGGCCCTGGGGTTGATGCGGTAGAGGGCGTAGAGGACGGCGTAGTTGCCGAGCTCCCAGAAGCCCGTCTTGAGGGCGTTCTTGAGCTGGCGCTTGCGGAAGAAGTACCGGGGCAGGTCGAACCAGACGAGGAAGAAGAAGCGGGCGACGTAGTGGAGGAAGTGGAGGGGGTCGTCGCGCTGGTAGCGGATGGTGGACGACAGGTCGTGGGGGCCGTTGCCCTCGACGTGGTGGTGCTTGACGTGGTGGTAGAAGTAGGTGTTCCACGTGTGGCCCATGAGGGGGTCGGTGACGTAGGGGAAGACGGCGTCGACGGCGCGCAGGACGGCGCTGTCCTTGGAGAGGATGCCGTTCATGTGGATGTGCTGGTGCATCATGAGCGTGTAGGTGCCCATATAGTGGAACTGCAGCGCCGTGTGCAGGACGGCGTGGAGGTAGCCGAAGCTGCGGAACAGCATCACGGCGCTCGGCACCGAGGTGGTCAGATAGAGGCCGAGGTGCGTCAGCATGATGACGTCCGTCTCATGGCGGACGACCTTGCGCGCCCACGCGATGTACGGCAGGACGACGCGGCGGTGCAGTGCGGCCGGGATCTTGGCCGGCAGGTCCCGGAGGTCCACGGACGACAGCACGCTCGGCTCAAAGTCCGGGCTGGTGGCGTCGTTGAGCCCCTTTAGCTTCCGGATGTCCTTGGCGTCCCTCTGGGACGACACTCCGCGGCAGGCTGTTTTGTTGCGGTCAGCCGAGAGGCTCTTTTTGCGTTGGGCTGCTTGCTTGCTTGCTTGCTTGCTTGCTTTGGGCAGCCGAAACTTAGACCGTTGGGGGGGCAAGATAGACTCACGCTCGTCATCTTTGTTGGACTTGTCGTCCAGCGACTCCTGGCTGGCATACCCCTCGTCGCCGTCGGCGGGGGCCAACTGCTTGTCGTCGTAGCGCTTGATGTCGTCGATAAGGTTCTGGAGGACGATGGTGTCTTGAACCGTTAGGTCGGGGCTGATGGCGAGACCACTCATTGCATGCAAGTTACCCGTTTCCCAATGCATATGCCAAGCTACAGATTACACGAGGGGAAAAGTTCAGGATGTTGGAGAGAGGGACAAACACAGTGACACACCCAGACACACACACACACACACACACACACACGCATACGGGGCCATTGCCCAATCGGTTGCGATTCGGGCCACACATTTGAAAAGGCCTTTTTTTCTCCATTGCGGGTAAACGAGGTGTTTTAGGGGTCGCCCGGGATTAAAAAGTGGGATGGTAAAAAGACATGACAGCGTTATCATATGGGAAAAGGAGGTGACCAGTGCTTTATTACGGGTACTCAATCTCGTTACCCCCATGTCGCGTCTCTGTTTCGCCTCAAGAGAACCGGCACTGTCAAGGTCATGGGCTAGGGAGCAGAGACGACTTGGTTGCCCGTCTCGACGGGCCACGTAGGAGTTGTGTCCGCACGATATGTCATTGTATTCGTATATACTCAAGCTATGGTTGCGGCTATAGTTGGCGGTCTAAAGACGCGAGGCGGCGAACCCAATAACCAATCCCTTTTTCACTTGTCCCCTGGGGAAAAAAAAGACTACAGTACTTACCAAAGGCAGCGATACGGGATGCGGCTCGAAGCCGCTGATTGGCCCGGCAGCCGCTCCGTGACAAACTTTTCGCCTGCCGGCAGGGAAAGCTCTTCTTCATCCGCACTACCAAGCCAAGGATCACCATCAAGCCATGTGTGACGTTTGAATCGTACGAGTCGGTGTCTTGTCAAGCGGGCTTGTTTTCAACGGCGAAGGGGTTCCCGGTCGACGAGACCATTTTCAGGGTCCTCGCGGATCCTAAAGGGGGATTAATGCCACGCAAGTAAGAGCGCTACGCGCCCCGGCTCACCGGCTCCGGTTGCCGAAAGACTTGCGAGGGCGGGAGGAACCCTTTCTCACATGCTCTGTCGCAATCCTGCCAACCAAAGCGTAATTGGGCCAGACCGCTCAGCTAGCTCATCTGGTTCCTGTCAATGGCTCCTCGTACTTGAACGGCAATCTCTCTGCCCATACTTTCGTACCCCTGAGCTACCCTTCCATGCCTGCATCAGAGATGCCGACTATTGGGTTCTAGAACACCGCTAGCTCGGGACCCTTTGGCGGGTGCGTGAAAGCTAGCATCTGACAGGACACTTTCGGAACCGCTGTGCCCTGAGTCGATACGAAGGAGATGAAACGGTGCAGAAATGGAAGAGTTTATCCGTACAGAGAGGTGTACGTAACCACGGACAGGGGTCTTCTCGGTCTGTTGATTCCGGTTGGTGAAAATGCCATGGCACAAGAACCACAATCTGGCCGGTCCAATTCCAGCAATCTTGATAATCTCCCTCCCCCCCAATCCGAATGAGCCTTCCAGTTAGTTATCCACCAAGGGGGGGCGGTCAGGCTTTGGGGCTTTGGGGGCCTTGGCCCCTGGAGCTCATCCCAGTCACTCATCTGCCAGACCTGGATGCTGCACCCCCTTGTCCGCTCCCTGGCAGAGCAACAGATCAGAGTCGCAGTGCAGGAGTGCGAGCCGAGTCTTCAGTCCAGCAGTCCGCAACAAGGGCTTCGTAGAGGGTGACCGACGCTGCGGATCCTATATGTCTGGACGGGCGGGGGCTAGCTTATCGTGTTTATGTACGGATACAGAGTAGAAGACAAGCTATGGAAAGAAAGCTGGTATGCTGCAAAGCTGCAACACTGACCCTCTACCCACTCTGCACAATAGCAAGCTCTCCGACAAATGTATGCACATCAGACAGCACAACTGAGCAAGGTAGTGTTTCGTTCAAAATAAAAAATAAAAAAAGAAAGAAAGAAAGACTGGGAAAATATGTGGTATTATTTGATGGCCAAGAGAGCATAGATGGTATTACTACCGCCACATGGTCAAGCGGAAGTTGGGGCGGAAACAATCTGCATGTGCAGTACGGTTGTTGAAGCAACTCGAAGTCGGTCTTATATGTTCATATAAGGGGCCATTGTCACTGTGTGGATGAGAGAGCTATAGAGAGAAGCGGATATTTTGTTTGTTCCTTGATCCGTCAATGGCAGAGCCCGACCAATGTGTGCGCGCCACTGGACCAGCCCAGTCCAACCGTTTCAGACGGCTCGAACCCAGAGAGACGTCACTGGGGCCGAAACACGTCTTAAGCTAGGTATGTTACACCTTTTTTTCAGTGAAAAAGGCGGGTTATGACCAAGAATTTGAGACACCGTGATGGGATGCCTCGTTTCTAGCTTTTACAGGGCCGCATGGGGGCCTTCTACTAGTCCTTTGACCTAGCTCGCTCGACTTGGGCCTCAATGTTGGCCTCGAACTTCTCGTCGCTGATGGATGGGGACCTAGCGCGCTCAGGCGCCGCAATGGATCTGCCTCTCATCTGCGCCCACACCGTCTTGTGCGTGGGGTTCAGGAAAAGGGCGTCCATGTCTTCAAGGGTTAAGCCTGGTTCAGGGTTAGCGGATGGACGATCGTGAAATTGGTGTTGGGGTTAGGGTTAGGGTTAGGGAAGAGTCTGAAGGAAACGCACCCTTGGTCTCGGGGACGAAGAAGAAGGCCCAGATGCCCATGAGTATGAGAATGGCGCCAAAGAAGAAGTAGGCCCCGTAGCCTAGGTCCGATATCATGTACGGCGTCGACCGCGCGATGATGAAACTACCCAGCCAGGTGGTGGCGGTCGTAATAGAGACGGCCAACATCCTGATTTCGAGCGTCTGCACTTCGGACGCGTAGAGCCATGTAATTCCCTGCCATGTGGCGCAGATGATGATCTTTCACAGGCACGTTAGCATGAGGACCGCTTTCGGCTGGTTCGGTGCCCACTCACTCCATTGATGTACACGCAGGCCATGGCAAGGTAGCCCCAACCATCCCGGTTGATAATGCCCGCCGCAGCAGCTTTGGCCGGGTCGTTTTTTAACACAAACCCTCCAATATATAGCATCGGGATGCAGCCGAGGGCAGATCCCCATAGCAGACCCTTCCTGCGACCGACCCTCTCGGCGACCCAGAAGGTGAAGAGGAACATGCCGAACGTTTTGGCGATACCGTAGAACCCGGTGGAGAAGAGCTTAGTGGACGTGCCCCTGATGCCGAGAGTTTCAAAGATTCTTGGAGCGTAGTAGGTGATGATGTTGACGCCTGTTACGCATGTTAGATCTGGAGAGAGAGGGAAAAGGGGGGGCAAGTCTTACCGGTGAAACTCTGGAGGAACATGAGGGTCATGCCCAGGCCCATACGGTTGCGGATGCCCTTCTGGAAAAGCTTCCGGAACATCTGCTTCTTTGTCATCTTGTTGGAGGTGCGCTCCTCCACCTGAGTGCGGATATCGCGCATCTCGCGGCGGATGTACTCGTGGTCGGCGGGCAGGCCGCGGATCCGGACGAGGATGCGCTCGGCGGCGTCGAAATGGTCGCCGCGGGCGAGCCAGCGCGGCGACTCGGGGCACCAGATCATGCCGAGGGCGAGCCCCAGACCGGGAACGAGCTGCAGGCCGAGGGGCACGATCCACTGGGACCGGGCGCCGACGTCGATGGTGCGGTCGGTGGCGTAGTTGATCCAGAAGCCGAGCATGCCGCCGCCCTGAGAGGCGATCTCGAAGATGCCGACGAGGCGGCCGCGGATCGAGGGCGGGGCCGTCTCGGCGATGTAGACGGGGACGGTGAGGGATGACGCGCCGATGCCGAGGCCGGCGATGGCGCGGCCGACGTAGATGAGGTTCAGGTTGCCGCTCGACGCCGTCATGAGGGTGCCGCCGATGAGGAATACCGTGCCGGCCAGCATGACCGTCTTTCGGCGGCCGAGCTTCTCGGCGATGGGGAAGGTGAACAGGGCGCCGAAGAAGCAACCGGCCTGCGTTTCGTCCCAAAGTCAGGTTAAGAAGAGCGAAGGGGGGTCATACGAGGGGTTGTGCGTACCTGGAATGTCGAGACAATGTTGCCCTGGATCGTGTCGCGGGTCGAGGAGCTGACCTCGTCGAGGTGGAAGTCCCGCCGGAACGAGTCCAACGCCATTGTGCCTCCGATGACGGCGGTATCATAACCCACTGGCAGGCCAAGTCAGTTGGTATTCTGCAGATCGGACGGGAGCTTCTGTGAGGTGGGGGGAGGGGGCCGCGCTCCGCTTTCCACCGGACATGTACGCAGCGCCGGAAGACGGGCGGTACGGTCACCCGATCACCGCCCGGTACAACACCGGTATATCTGGGACGATGGGGAATACAACGCAGGCCGCACATCAGCACAGAGACTTTAGGAAACCACGTACTGGCCAAGGCGGACATGCTGGCAACAAGCGCAATCAAGTGAATGCGCCAGTTCCGCACCTCGGGGGGATCCTGCGTCCCGGACGCGTGGGTGCTGAAGAAGCCCATGCCGGGCAAAGCAAGCGGGGAAGATTTTGCAAATGGCGGGAAAATGGCGCAGCAACAGTCGCGAGAGGGAGGGTGGTCAAGAGTGTGTGTGTGTTTACGTGTAACACGCGAGACGACGGCCGAGGAACCAACAAGACCCAAAGGTTGCGTACGTGAGCGAGGGAAACCGAGCAGCCGATGGAGAATATCCGGCAGGGGAGGCAGGCTTTATCTAGGCCGGTCCATGACGTCCACCCCCCCTCCCGACTAAATGATGAGCTTGAAATGCACTCGCTCGCGTCGAATGGAGAGCTAGAGTGCTTGGAAGCATAGTATGTTGGTGGAGGAGCCCATGGGTCACGTGACCCACCTCCACCTCCTTCTCGGCCAGCCTCTGCCCACTGCGGGCAGCCCACTCCTAGTTAGCTTCATATCACAGTTATCGCCAATACAACAGTATTGCCTTACTTTGCTGCTCCTATAGGTTATAAGGCCTAGGTTAATACTAATTAATTTTCTTTATAATTAATTAATTAGCTGCCTTTGCCTCTTCTTTTTTGCTTTTTTAATAGTCTATAGTAATATCTATAAAACGTTATAGTTACTGCCTATATTGCTATTAACTGCCTGTCTACTATAGTTATATTGCCTTATAATAATAATAAGTAATAAACTTAAAATATTACTCTTACTTTACTTTTACCTCTACCTATATCCCCTTTTACTTAGACGTCTAATAATAAGCAGTAATTTATATAATAATTTAGATATACCCCTTATCCTATAAGGGAAATATATAAAGTTTAATATATTATTAGGCTACCTATAGTCTAGAGGAGACTCTTATCTATATTATATTATCCTTCTTTATATAAGTAATTAACTACTATTATAGCTAACAAAGTTAACTACTAAATAGTTATATAGTTTATCTTTAAGCTAAAAGGGAAGTTAAACTAGTTATAATAGTAAGTCCTAGTTAATATATTACTTTATACTACTAAAGTTAAGAAATATATTAACTATAAAGTCCCTTAACTAGTAATTAATACTAATAAGTATAAGAATTAAGAGAATAAATATAACACTGCCTATAGTATTATTATTAGTACTTATAACCTTATAATTATTAAGCTTCTTAATATAGAATAAGTTAATAATAGTAACCTATATACTTTTATAAAAACACTTAAGAAGTTTATCTCTAAGGTATCTAAAGATACTGTTACTGCCCTTATTAATAAGTTTAGTAAGGGTAGTACCTAAGACTATAAAACCCTTTATAATACCTTTACAAGGGTTTAATACCTCTAAAGCTATATTACTAGCCTCTATAGTAAAAACTCTAACTACTATTAGGCTATTCTTATACTTAACTACTTTAAGGTGTAACTACTAGATACCTATAAGTACTATACTAATAATAATAAGATACCTACCTAGGCAAAGGTTATTAAGACTATTTACACTTTTACCTAGGATAAGGAATAGAAAATAAGACTTATTATATACTATAAGAACACTACTAATCTAATAGTAACCTTTTTTAGTGCTAACTAAGGCACTACTTTTACTAAGAATATTACCTATAGTAGTTTTTGCCTTTATTATAAAAAAAACTACCTTACTATAAAGTGCTAGACTACTTACCTAGAGCTAGTTCTTACTAATTATCTTTATTATAATGCCTTTTTTGCCTATATAACTAAGTATATCTATAATAAGGATTATAAAGAAGGATTATTTAACTTATTATTAACTTCTATTTTTATTAAAGAAGCCTTAGGTACTCTTAGTAGCTTCTTTATTATTAGCCTAGCTATAAAGCCTAGCTATATAGTATATATAGTTATTAATAACAAGGTTATTACTACCTTTAATATTATACTAGATTTAGGCTACTTTAACCTTGTGTTTAACTTATTAACCTACTTTATATCCTATATAGTCTATAGTAACCTTTAACCTTTTACTATAGTAAATAGTAATTAGGTATATCTAGAGAGTAGTAGTACTGTTTTCTTTTAAATAAAGGATCTAGTTAACCTAACTTAGACTATTAACTAGACTATTAAAGATATTAAGTATAGCCCTCTTAGCCTAGCTAACCTTCTTAGCCTAGGTAAGTTATATAAGGCAGATATTAAATATAACTATACTACTACTTGTATTATTAATACTAAATCTAAGGCCTATTTAGCTACTGTTAAATAGATCTTAGACATCTATATCCTTTATATAACTAATAGCCTAACTATACCTATAGTAACTACTCTTAGATTAGCTATAGTTAAAGGTAAGTGCTAATTAACCTTTAAGATAATATATTACTAACTTATTTACGCTTATCTATTATAGGTTATTAAGGCCTACTGTTAAGTAGGTATATAATTAATATAGGCAGAGATTAATAACTTTTACTATAAGGCCTACTACTTAGCTAAATCTATAGAGCTTATTAGCTATAATACTTTATTACCTTTTACTTTTATAAGTAAAGAAATCTATCTAGACCTTATTAAGGTTAAACCTTTTTCTAAACTTAGTATATAATATACCTTTTACTTTCTTAACTATTATAGTAGTTATTATTAGCTTACTTTATTAAAAACCTATTACTATAAGGTTATTCTTAATACTATTAAGAAGTTTAGTACTATATTTACTAATATAATAGGTCTCTTAATTAAAGGTTAAATATATAATAATATACCTAAGCTTAAGAAAGTGCTTTATAACTTTTTCTTTAAAGGCACTTAACTTTACCTAACTACTGCCTATACTTTATTAATAAATAGCGTAATTAAATATACTAGCTATACCCTTATAGAGGCTACTTATACTCTACTTATTAACAATAGCTTACTAAAGGATCTCTAGGACTATACACTTAACACTATAGTGTAGATCCTTAACCTTCTACTATAGTTAACTAAGGGTAAAATAAGCCTTTATAAGATTATTACCTATAAGCTTAACCTTACTACTAACTAAGAACCTCCTTAAATTAAATACTTTTATACCTTTAGTTATATTATATATATATATAAGAAGGGTAGTAAGTGCCTTTCTTGTTCTATAAAAATAGAACCTTATATAATAAAAGGTTACCTTATTAGCTATAGCTCTTTATATAGTTATATCTACTATATCTATATCCCTAATTAGAAGTAAGTTATTTATTACTATAATATTTATTTTTATAAAGGGAAAAAAAAGACTATTCTTTACCTTATTACTAATATAAATATCCTAGTAGATACTAACTATAATATACTCTTTAATAAGCCTAACCTCTAGATTTAGTTTTCTAGCTAAGTCCCTAATTCTTACCTACTAGTTGCTAAGACCTTATAAAACTAGTAGGCTAACTAAACTAATAGTAGTACTATTAATAGTAAGTGTATTAATAATACTACCTATATAACTTTACCCCTAGAGGACACTACTATACTTACTTTATTATTTACTAATAAATAGCCTATAAATAAATAACTAGATAAATAAGATAATACTTTTACTAATAATAAGTTTTATAAGGTTATTTAATAAAAGGCTAACTACCTTCTTCTTGTTGTAAAGGAGGATAAGCTAGACCTTATTATTAAGGCCTTTACTACTATATTTACTACTAAGTATATTACTACTAGTTGCCTATGTTATATTAGTGTAGTAAAGCTGCTTAGTTACTATTATAAAATAGTAGGCATCTAAAACTATAAGAAAAAGGTATATTTCTTAGCTAATATTTAGGTATACTAAGATAGTTAAGGTTACTTTATTAGTACCCTTATAGTAGCTATATTATTAAAGGTACTATCTACTAGTTATAATATACTTACTACCTTTAAGAAGGTAAAGGAAGGCCTACACTAGCACTATTAGAAATAGGCCTATAATACTAAGATCTAGTAGTTTAATAATAAAGAGGTGTATACCCTTGTTAACCCTTTAACTAGAGCTAAAGTGCTACTAGGTAAATAGGTATTTAATATTAAAACTAACGTAAATAATAAAATTATACACTTTAAGGCCTAATAAGTAGTCTATAGTAACTTTAAGTAAGGTAATTAGTTATTATAAGAGGTATATATAGCTATAGCTACTACTATTACTATTTACCTCTTTTTTACTATTATTACTCTTTATAGATTAAAGTACAAGATATATAACTTTAATACTACTTTTCTTACTACCTTTATTCTTGCTAGTACTAATGTCTATATTAAATAACCTACTAGTTATACTACTATTAATAATAAGGTCTAGTTACTTTAAAAGGCCCTTTATAGTCTATATAAGTTACTACTATAGTAGTTTATACTTATTAAAGGTAAAATAAAGAAAATTAGCTTTTAGCTAGTTAAAGGGGAAATCTACCTCTTCTATAACAAGGACCTTAATACCTATGCCTTAATATATATTAATAATAATATAGTAGCTATACCTACTACTAAGATAACTAGGAAGGTATATAATATACTTACTAAGGTCTACCTACTAAAGGACCTTAGTAAGGTCTCTTAGTTTCTTAGCTTTTAGATCTAGTGTTCTACTGCTAATAAGATTTATATTAATTAACATAAGTATACTAAAGGTATACTTTATTACTTTAGTTATATTAACCTCTAGCTAGTTAAGACCTTATTACTTACTAACTAGGACCTTCTTGTTACTTAGAGTAAAGATAACTATACTAAAGCTAACTAATAGCTCTATATTAAATAAACTAGCTGCCTTAACTAGTTAGCTACTAGTATACGCCTAGATATTACTTTTATAGTTAGTAAGCTCTCTTAGGCTAATACTAGCCTATTACCTACTTATTAGGCAGCTATTAAGTACTTTTTTTACTACCTTAAAGGCACTACTTATTATAATATCTTATTTAGTAGACTTAACCTTTCTACTAATATTAGCTTTTATACTATAGTAGATACTTCTTTTACTAATAATTACTTATTATAAGTATCTATAGGTAGTTATATTATCTACTTTACTAGCTTACTAGTAGCCTAGAAGTCTAAGTAATAGACTTTTATTACTTTAAGCTTTACTAAGGCAGAGTTTATTAACCTTATACTAGTAGTAATTACTATAAAGTAGATTTATTACTATACTAAATAACTCCTTAGCTAACTACTAGATACTTTAACTATCCTCTTTACTAATAGTGCTAATATAATAGTTAATATTATAAATCTCCTTAATAAAGTATAAACTTAAAGTATTAATATTTAATATAAATAGATAATCTAAGAGGTTTACACCTATAAAAATATTACCCTCTAACTTATTTATAGCACTAAGATAGCTACTAATAGCCTTATAAAGGCACTAGCCCTAAATAAATACAAGGATTTTATTAGACTACTAGGTATAGTAAATAGATTAGATTAATAGGTTATATAGGTATATAGATAGACTATATAGATAATAGGTTATATAGATTATATAGGCTTATTAGTATATAAATAAATTATTACTAGACTAATAGGTAAATTACTAGCCTTTTGCTAAAGTTATTATATACTTTAAAAACTCCTTAGATTTAGAGGATTTAAGGTTAGGCAGTTATTTACTACTATTGTTACAATATACGGGAGTGGGCTAGCAGAGCCTAAGGGGGAGTGTTAGTGGAGGAGCCCATGGGTCACGTGACCCACCTCCACCTCCTTCTCGGCCAGCCTCTGCCCACTGCGGGCAGCCCACTCCTAGTTAGCTTCACATCACAGTTATCGCCAATACAACGGTATTGCCTCACTTTGCTGCTCCTACATAGTACATAGGGCTGCGGGAGGAAAGGCGGGTGGTTCGAGGATCGGCGGTGTTTACCCCGCGATAAACCCCCGTGGGGAAAGAAAATTAAGAAGGGAATTAGATGTGGCCCCCGGGGTCGTCAGAAGTTGCCTCGGGTCCAGAAGAATAGAGTCAGAGTCGCAGCAAAAATAAGAACAGTCACACACGCTTGCTCGGACGGTCCAGCCATTCAACGTCCGGAGATGACAACATCAAGTTCCACCCCCACCACCCCTGTACAGTTGGATGGGCTGGGCAGGGAAGACTTGGCGTCAGCAGATGTGTGGATCAGCCAAGACATACCTACGCTGAGGAGGGGAGGGGGAGGAAGCCAGTAATCTTTCTCTTTCTCTTCTCCTGATGCCGTAGGAGAACGGGGTTTGCTTACGTTCTTCCGCTCTTTTGCACTGGGGGAGGGGGGGGGGGATGGTTTGCTTTCGAAGACCTACCTCCGCAGAGGGGGAGACTTGATTCTGTTTGTTGAAAGGTCTATAGATGCAAAACCACAGCTGTGAGACCACACATGAGGATATCACAACCTGAAGAAAACGTTGCTATTTTCGGTAGGGGTTTTGCCAAGACGAAAACAAGCGGGGAGAATCGGACGCAGGGGGTTCAGCACGCATTGGATGTGATATAGCCGGCTTCGAACCTCTGGGTAGCTCTCACGAAAGTAACCGAGATACCACGGGCCCGGGCCTGTGGAAAGGCGCGGTCCCGTCCTAAGAGATTGGATCGAGGCGTGAGTGGCAAGCCATGACGGGACCGGGTGAGGGGAGGATTTCCATCTGCTGGTAGGTAGTTCATCTGCCCCGGGGACGGGCCTGGATCTGCCCCCCCCAACCTCCTCATCGGTAGTCAAGTTTGAGTTCCGAGACCACGGGAGCCGCTGCGCTGTCAAGAGGCGGCTCCATCGCGAGCCACTCGTAACCCCCCGACGCACTCGGCGACACCCTCCCAAAAGTCCAAAAGGCGTTTTGGCATTTCTTGGCTCCTGTCCACCTCTTATGCGCCCGTATTGCCCCAACGTTGTTCGACATGCAGGGCTCCCATTCCACCGTGGCGGACTGCCTACTACGGTCCAGTTGTAGAGCTCCGTTGGGTCTGCGCGCCCGTTATGCCAGCCGCCGGTAGCCCGGTGATGCTGGTACGGGCCTATGCGTGCTTCTCTCTCTTCTTCTATCGCCGAGGAGGGCCCCCCCCCCCCCCACCTCACTCGATCCGTAGCTCGAACTAGACTTGCAACGAGCATGTTGCATCGGCTATAATTTCTAGCGTGTCGTGGGCCACTGGACATTACACATTTCCACATTATTAGCTGTGCTAAGCCACCCCCAGTCTAGGGTTCGTTCAAGATTTAAACTACATACGGGGAACCTGGTGGCTTGGCACAGAGTTCAGCTGGGATTGTGCGGGGCGTTTTTTCCCGTCAGAGTTCCGTGTCTCTGGCTCTCCGTTTCCCCGAGGTGCTGGATATGTGGGTTCTGGCTTCTTTCGATACGTTGTGCCAAGTCGGTACTATGCAGCAGTCGGACTATCGTTGGGTCACGGGACCTGGCTTATGGTAGCATTTATTCAAGCGGGGGCGAATCAGGCATAAAAGATTACGGGATGAGCATATCTGCCCGTACGAGAAGTGATGGAAGAAACTTATTTGATACCTCTTGGAGGGCTGAGAAGGAGCCTTTTTCATATGAGAGGATTTCCACAACATATCATGTTACAATCTACTTGTCCTCTCGCACACTATGGCGTGGTTAGGCTTCGTCTTTCATAGCATTCACCAAACAAACAACTAGCCACAGAACTGACACGCTGCTCAACTGTTCAGACTAACCGTTGCGGCTCCCAAGCCTCGTCTGGGCTTGCGATGCAGCCGGCCACTAGTGCATCCTGATGGATGGCACCCACGCTGGGACCCGACATGATGTACCGCTACAAATTGCCCAATGAAGCCAGAGGCCACCTCTGGCGTTCACAACCACTTCGGGCAACTTCCGTAAGGTTCACGCAAGCGATGGTCCGGCAGGTGAAAAACAATCGACTTAAGTGCGTTGTCTGATATTACTTGCCAACTCCATGACAGCGCACAATGCGGGTTCGCGTGATTTGGGTTGGCATAATCGTGACCCGGCTATCCGTCACTCGCTTATGCTAGTCGTTTGCCACGCCTCTGCGGACCTCGGCCAACGGGTCATTCAAAACACCTAACCAATTAGTAAGGCAGCAGATGCACAGCCGAAGTGGGTTGAAAGACGACAGGTGCCGAATGCTGACGCTTGTAGGCTATCCGCTGAGGAAGTGCAGATCCGCTCTCCGAGTACCTACCTGGAGACTGAGTCCAGAATAAGAATTCAGCCTACAAGTAATACTTGTAGCTTAATCATCGGCTAAGAGTCTCGAAGACGCTAAAATGTTATCAATGTGGCCCCCGCTATCCCACTTTGTCGATGGACAAGCCAATCGTTTATAAACCTTCAGCTAAGCAGGAAACTCTAGAATGATTGCCCACTACAATTTTGTGTGCCCCTCGCTTCACTTCCAATCATGCTGTGGTTATTGATGATGTCGATGTTGATATCGAAGTTGAGTTGGGGGATATGGGGTTGATTCATGCTCGAACACACAAAACTAAATAAAACCCGGTTCAAAATGCTTACTGGCTTTCAAAACTAACCCCCGACTTTCAAAAACACCCGCCGATTTACTCTCCACAGCTGGGTAAAAGTTGGCATTACCAAAACAACGGCCAGCAACCGGGGCCCAGGCAAGTAGCCCATGCAACCGGGTGAGTCAGGAGTCAGTGCACACGCAGCGCAGAAAAGTCTGAGGAGGGAGGGGTTCCTTCAACCCCCTCTCAAGCTCCCCCACATCGTGGAGTGGCAAGGGGGGAGGAATGGAAGAAAGAGGTAGCGTAGTTATCGGAACCCTCCCCTTCTCTCCACTCACCCGCGCGCCTTTCCCCGGCTCTAGACAAACAAAGGCGCTCCTCCACATCCTGACCAGCAAACGCCGCAGCCACCGTCCCAGACCCATGCGGGCAGCCAGAAAGATAGCGAGAGATTACCTTTGGAAAGGGTGGGAAAGGGAAGAGGATGTCCGCCACTGCCAACGAGGCCGCACGCGATTGTCACCGTAAGCATGCAGGAGAATAACAGTGGGATGTCGGCTCTGCCAAGTTCTTACCGGCCACTGAGGAGATCGGTGAGGTCCAGGGAAGGGTGTCTGACCTGCAAGTGAGTAGTCACCACGCCCGCCTGCCGATTCATGCCCGTCCCTTCGTGCCGCCGAAAGAAGGCCAGTAAGACTAAGGGCAACCTCCCGAGGGGGGAGGGCGGGGGGTTGCAGTGCTCCCGACCGGCCCGGCTAGCAAAGCCCGCAACCGACCTGGGTATGAACGAGGATGACCGTCGCGCTGACAACGAACGACCCCCCACAGACGCCGGAAAGTCAAATGCGATGAGTCCAGGCCCAGGTGCAGCCATTGTGAACGGCTGAACCTGGAATGCAAGTGGCGGCCGCAGAGCAGTGCCGCCGCCCACTCCATGCTGGCAGCCGCCGGCCCCTCTGGGTCAGGTCGTAGCCCGGCCACGCCGTCCCATGTCACCGATGCATCCGTGTCTCCGGCGGCGTCCATCTTCCAGCCCGTGCAAGCCGTCGATGAGATCTTCGACTATGCCAGCTTCATGTGGGATGCCGGCGATGCCTGGCAGCAGGCCGACCCCGAGTCGGGTCAACAGATGAGCCTCGGGGGCCAGGCTCTAGTACGTTGTCTCGATGTGGTTATTGAGCTCTCCAGCTAACATCACACAGCGAAGTCAATACAGTAGTCAGCCTCTCGGAGGCCGGCAACCACAACCCATGTCCAGCCCGCCAAACATCGGCTTCACAGATCGGACCGCCATGGACAGCCTGTCGGGACTGTCATCGGTACCCGATGCGAGCAGTCAATCAGAGCAGGCCATGGATATGCAGGACCCGACAGAAGACGACCGACTAATGGACTATTTCAGCCGCGTCGTCGTCCCGCCCATCCTCGCCGAGGTTGAGACGCAGAAGAAATGGCTGGCGGTCCGCCAGGTCGTCGTGGACATGGCCGGCGCGTCCCAGATGGTCAAGTGGTCGGCCCTCGCCTTCTCCAACCTGATTCTGTCCCGTCGCGAGGGGGCCTGGCTCACCGGCCCGGCGGACCACTACCAGAAAGCCGCGTCGGAAGTGGCAGCGTGCGGCGACGGGTCGTCTCCCGCCATCGACAACCCCGGCTCCCGCCGAGAGCACCTGCTCGCGACGCTGTTCTTCCTGAGCTACGTCGACATCCTCAGGGGCCGGATCAAGGCGGCGGATTCGTTCCTAAAGCGGGCGTACGGGCTGTTCCAGCAGGGTGAGAAGAGCAGCTTCACGGTCGTCGAGAAGCAGTTCCTGCAGTGGATGCGTCTTCTCGACGCCCGCGCCGTCTCTGCCGGCGGCCAGGGCCTGCTCTTGTCCAAGGACGACGAGCTGCTGCTCGTCGAGGCGTCGCCGGCGAGCTTCGACGGCGGCGTCGCCGACTCGGGGAGAGAAGACCTCGCCGACGGCGACATTGAAGATGTCCTGTTCCAGGTCCTGTACCAGCCCGGCATCGTCTTCTTCCAGAAAGTGCAGAGCTTCATGGGGCGGATATCCAAGATCGACCCGTGGCACCGATCGCGCGGCACGGTCGAGGACGAGACGGAGGTCATGAACATCGGGGCGGCCATCACGGCCGACCTACGGGCCCTGTACGAGCAGCGGCCGCCGCTCATGGACTACGCCGTGGCGGGCAAGCTGACGGAGCCTCACGTTTCGCCCCATCTCGCCTTCGTCATCACGCGTGCCTTTCGCACCTACCTCGCCAACTACCACGCGAGCAAGGTCCACCTGCACAGGGTGGCCTACAAGTCCTTCCCGCTGACCAAGGAGGCGGATGACGCGCTGGGCCAAATCCGGCGTCTGGCGAGGCTCCTCGTCGACTCCCTCGACGCGGACAACTCGCTGCCCGTCAACATGCTCTGGCCCCTGCTGATGCTGGGCTCCGAGGAGCGGGACCCCCAAGAGAGGGTCTGGATCAAGACGCAGATCCTCCGGATGGAGAGGGTCGCTGGCAACGCCAAGATCACGGCTCAGGTGCTGGAGGAGGTCCAGGCGAGGCAGGACGCTAACAAGGTCCGGGTCGACATTCGGTCCGTCATGCACGCCATCTTCAACTCGTGCTTCGCCATAGTCTGATGCTCAAGGCAGGATGGAGCATTGACGAGACGGGATGGATACGCTAACTGACACATCTATCTAGCTGGGCTCATGCAGTGGCAATAATATAACAGAACAGCAAGAGTCACAAGTACAGTCACAAGTACAGTCACAAGTATGTTATCGCTCAGGGAAAGGAACAGCATAAATAGATAGAGGCTGGGAAAGTGTTGTTTCGTGACGTCAGGACTTATCAGGTAGCTCCGGGGGCGGGAGTCATCATCATCTCGCATCGATAGAGCGATCACCAAGATATCCGATTTGCTTAGAGTTACAATTCTATCAACCGACCTTCCGTCATGGAACCTACCGCATACCCGAGGCTAAGTGACGAACAAACGTGTCGGCACATCGCCCCAAAGGCCCCTTGTTTCCCAGTACACCCACGCGACTGAGATCATCGGCCGAACCGACAGGCCCGACGCTAGCGCACCCGACGCCGGTGGGTCCCGATCGGGAGACCCGCTTTCCGGCTTCCAGTCCGATCGGGAACTTGCCAGACGCAGGCTTCAGGGAAATATCCATCTCTGTCTGACGGAACACCCCAAGTGCCTGTTGTTTCTGTAGGAACAAGTCACCAGGGAAATGAGGGTCATGCGGAATGCAAAGCGAGCACTGCACAAGTCGTTTGACCGCGTTGCCTCCCCTCCTCCCTCGAGACACGCCCCCCCCCCACGGCGTTGACTGACTCGTCGCATATGGTTGACCTCATGCCCGTGGGGAAGGTCGGCTTGTCGGAACGATGGTCCCCTCATGATGCCCCCGCGCTTCGACGTCCAGCGCGGGGTCGAAAGCTCCGAGCCACGGAGCTCAGGAGCTACTTCTATTGACCTCTTCCATCACTCCTGCTCACACGATTTCCTGGCCCAGACCCATTGATGCCACGAGTCCTGTGTTCCTCTTGTGTCCAAAGTGCGCCCCCTCCTCGCTCTCGTTTTCCAAGTCAATCCTTCTCTTTTCCATCACTCACTCCCGCTTAAGCGTCGTCGCGATGGCTCCCACCAAGTCCTTTCCCGCCGGCATCCATGTCCCCAGTCTGACTTGGTTCGGTGACGACGCCAGCCAGGAGATTGACTGGGACGTCCAGACAAAGCACATTGAGTTCCTCGTCAGGTCGGGGCTTCACGGCAGTAAGTTTCTGGTTCGGGAGTGCCCCTCTCCTCCCCCCCTCCTTCTCCTTCTTTCCGAGTCTTCTAGTTCTAACGGAGCTTTATCACAGTTGTTCTTGCCGGCACCAACGGCGAGGCCGTCACCCTGACCAACGAGGAGAAGACCCGACTCGTCAAGACCACGAGGGAGGTCGCCGTCAAGGCCGGCCGCCCCGACCTGACCATCACCATGGGCTGCGGCGGCCAGTCCACCCACGCCGTCATCGAGGAGACCCGGCTCGCGGCGGCCGCCGGCGCCGACTACGCCCTCGTCCTCGTCCCCAGCTACTTCCACTTCGCCATGAACGAGGAGGCCATCGTCGGCTTCTTCGAGGAGCTCGCCGACGCCAGCCCCGTCCCCGTCATCATCTACAACTTCCCCGGCGTCGTCGCCGGCCTCGACGTCAACTCGGACATGCTCTCCCGCCTCGGCCGGCACCCCAACATCGTCGGCGTCAAGCTGACCTGCGGCGGCATCGCCAAGGTCGCCCGCGTCCGCGCCGAGTTCGACCCCGCCGAGTTCTTCGCCCTCGCCGGCCAGAGCGACTGGCTCGTGCCCGCCCTCGCCGTCGGCAGCAACGGCACCATCACCGGCGTCGCCAACCTGTTCCCCAAGTACTGCATCGAGATCTTCGACCTCTACAGCGCCGGAAAGCTGCAGGAGGCGTCCGCCGCCCAGCTCAAGCTGGCGCAGATGGAGTGGGCCTTTGGCAAGGGCGGCATCAACGGCACCAAGTGGGTTGTCGCCAAGTCGCACGGCTACCCCCTGACCAGCTGCCACTGCAGACGCCCTTACCCCCAGTACACCGACGAGAAGAAGCAGGCTTGGATCTCCGCCTTGGTGGCACCTCTGGTCGAGGAGGAGGCCAAGCTGAACCAGCGCGCTTGATTGTGAATGGATAGTAGCTACTTGGAACGAAGAATCGAAAGCATAAGATGGTGGACATTGGCGTTTGGGGGCATTTTGAAAAAAATAGCAAAGGCATCATAAATGAGCAGAATGAATTACCATTGTAATGAAGAGGTCCAGGAATCTTGGTCAAGTGAGAGCAGCATGCTTACTCTAATACCATCCTTTAGATATTAAACTGTCTGTTATGTTTCAGACAACCCGCACGCACGGCACATTCAGTCACTGGTCTTGCTTGGACCGTTTCGGTTCGAAATATATATATATATATATGCATGTATAAAATAAAACGGTTACCTTGTAATGTTGGCCGGTATCGTCAGCGATGCAACAAAAGAAAACCACCGTTGATTGGGGGGAGGCATAGCTGAAAATACTGTCATTATCAAATGTTGAATGAATCGCTCCTGGCTGCCTGTTTACACATCCCTAAAGTGCATGTAAAACAGTTCTGTCTTATCTTCCTGGCTCTGAACGAATGGACATCGGCTATGCAAGCTCTCATGTCTGGGGTATAGTACACAACTGCTTCCCTCGAAAGATCCGACCTACAACCGCCAAAGGCCATTGTTCCCCCTCTCCTCCCCAACTCCTAGCACAAGCTCTTATGCAACCTCGGTATGCTCACTTGAATTCGCCTTGTTATCATCCAAAGGCTCATCGACGATCTTGGTGGAGGGCTCTGGGCGGGCATCGTAGGCGTAGCCGCTGAGAGGAAAATAGTCAGTATCTGCACAGTGGAGGATGGGATCAGACACAAAATCACATACAAGATAACGTCCATCTGGTCCATGGTAAGGCCCTTGGTCTCCGGCAAGAAGAGGTAGGCCCACACAGTGGCAACGATCATCCAGGAGGCGAAGAAGAACCAGGTCCCGTAGCCGAAGGAGCTGAAGATGTACGGCAACGCTTTGGTGATGGCGAACTGTGTGGCCCTGGGAGACTGTCAGCATAATCGAGGCACCGCGGCAGGGGCTTCACTTACCAGACGACGAGGGCGGCGTAGGTCCCGGTGAAGTTGCGGAGAGCGCCGGGGAAGATCTCGGCACTGACGATCCACGGGATGCCGTTCAGGCCAAAAGACCAGCTGCAATGGTCGTCGGGTTAGTCCGGATCGGGGACGGTGATTGTGGAGGGGGTGACATACCAGATGGAGTAGATCATGATCATCCCGGTCGCCGCTTTACCACCCGCGGCAGTCGAGGCGGACAGCTCCTTGCCAGCTGCGATGATGTCGGCAGGATGGCCAACCTTGACGTACGTGCCGACAACCCAAAGGCAAAGCGAGCAGACGAACGACGAAACGATGGCGGGCCAGCGTCTTCCGAGGACGTCGATCAGGAACACGAAATATATGATGGAGGCGATGGCTGGAGGCTCCCGTTAGTTATTAAACATGCTCCCCCCCTCTCACAAGCGTTTTTGACTCAGTGATGCTCACCCTTGACCAGGCCGTAGATTCCAGTGTAGAGGGAAACATCGGTGATGCCGATAGATTTGAAGAGGGTCGGCGAGTAATAGTTGATGGCTAGGTAGGAAGATCAGTCGCTGAGATGCACCAGATGCTGGGTTATTTCGGCATTCGACATACCAGCAGCACCGGAGAGGTTGTTGAGCGCGAAGGCACAAAAGACAAGCACCAGGCGGTTCCACATGCCCTTGCGGGCCAACATGTTGGCAACACCACGCAGGTATGCCCATTGTCCGGTGCCGTACTGCGCGGCCACGGCGCGCTCCTCGTCAATCTTCTTCTGGAACATGTCGAGCTCCTCTTGCATGTCTGCGTATACCGAGATTAGTATCCTCTGGAAGAAAAAGAGAAAAAAAAACTCCAAGCATGATCAACAGCTCGTTTCCTCCGTATGATGCTCACATTTGTGGTCGATCGGCAGGTCCCTGAGCCCCTCGAGAACCTTGTGCGCCTTCTCTGTCTTGTTCTGCCGCAGGAGCCAGAGGGGGCTCTCGTGGATGAAGAAACAGCCCGCAAAGAGGATTCCAGCAGGGACCAGCTGGAAAGCCATCGGAATCCTCCAACTGATAGGCAGGTTTGGGTCGAGGGTCTTCGTGATGCCGTAGTTGATCCAGAAGCCTATCACGGAGCCGATCTGGTATGCCACTTCGAACAGACCGGTGAGGATGCCGCGGATCGAGGGGATCGAGAGTTCGCCGATGTACGAAGGCACTGTGGCCGTGATCCCACCGCATCCAAGTCCCGTCAGGACGCGCCCGGCATCTGCGTGGACCAGGTCAGCCACTGTCTGCAACGGTCTTTGGGCGCCGGGGGAGGGGAGGGGCTGGCTTCTTTACAGATGAATGACAGTTGGTCCGTCGCAACGGTCATCAGAATGGCGCCGACAATAAACATGACGACGTTAGCCTGCAGGGTCCATTTTCTGCCCAGACGCTCGGTGACTGGTGGCGAGTTAGCCTTCCCGGATTCCCACGACAGGTTGGGAGGTCCGTACTCACTGAAGAAGCAGAGGACCGCGCCACCCAGGGCCCCGGCCTGGAAAGCCGAGGTGATGTTGCTGGAGATGTTGTTGGAGTTGCCGGCGTTGATGCCAAAGTCCCTCTTGAAACTGTTGCGGGCAATCGTGGTCCCGATGAAAGCCGAGTCGTACCCGAAGCTGCAATGGCGGACAAAGAGTGAGCCCGTCGTCCACGGTACGGGCGAAGGCGAGCCGCGATCTTATTACTTACAGAAAAGAGCCGGTCGCGATGATGGCGGCCTCAATGTAGAGCTTCCAGTTGTACACCTCCTTCGGCGTCGGGCGATCCTCGACGGCCTTGAAGCCACCCATGGCTTACGATGCCGTGCTTAAGGCGGCTTGTCAACTGGTTTGGCGGGAACGGGGAGTGAGTTATCGACGGAGTTTGCGGATTTGAATGGCACGCGCACACGCACACACACATACACACACACACACGGGGGGGGGGTTCACAGTCACATTCTGCAAGGAGCTCCGGCTGCCAAAGAGTATTTATCCTGCCCTCCCTTTACCACCTCGTCGGATGGGCGCATCCCCATGGGGTACAGGTGTGGAGAAAACATGGAGGGCTTTGGAGTTTGGCTCGCTCGCGCAGCCCATCTCTCCGAAAGAGGGGGGGAATGCCTGCTAGTTTGACTCGTGCTGCCAGGGTTTCGACCAACTTGACCCGGGCTGCGCTCCTCGGAAGTCGTCCGTGGACGATATCACGAACCGTCTTTCGCACATGAGCGAGTGGATCGGTTGCTCCACGCTAGCAAGCCACATCAGAGTCTTCGTCACGGTGGCAGCGAATGGCATCGTCTGTCAGTGGCCTCCCCCGCTCGACTCATGCCAGTTCCTCATCAGCCGCTACGCAGCAATATGGAGGTTTCCACGAAAGACGAGGTCATGGTCTCCAACGCCCGATCAGGATCGGCTGCTCTGCCCCCCCCCCCCCCCACTATGGCTTCCGACATGCGAGCCGACATGCGAGCCGACGCAAAGTTGGTGGAATGCGACTCCACACCACACGTGGGCGGGAATGAGGTGGGTGGTGAATCTGGGTATAGAACCAGGTTTGCGGACCCAAGTGCGTGGCACATCAAGGTGATCTCGCGAACGGGCAGTTTGACATCACACGATGCAAAGAACGCCAAAGCCAATCAAGATTCATCCGAGGGGCGGCGGGTTTCCGCAGTCGCTTGCATCGGTTCGGCAAGTTTTCCAACCCTGAAGGGTTGGATCGGGATATCGCCTTTGCGTGAATCAGGACATTGGGGCTAGGGAAAACGAGTATCGAGAGATGACGTAGGTCTCGGTACCATGTCTGGTTATTCGAGGCTTTCTCTTGCCCATTCGTGTCATTAGACTTTCGAGCGGCCACGTTCCGGGGTTGCATTTGGTTCCTCGCAAGGTCGAGGTTGCTTCCCACGCCCTGTCTATAAGGAGAGGAAACAAGGTCCAGTCCCCTCCACCTGGCACACACACCTGGAAGTGTCAAATGTCATTGCAAGTGTTCTTTGGACAGCTGGAGAAGCAAGGTGCATGAAGTGTTGTTTGGCCCTGTATGAATGTCAATCAGGAGCACGAGACCAAACGTAGATCCCAACATCGAGGGATCGCTGTGTACGAGACATGAACCGTTGTTGAAACTTCTTTGCTGCGAGTCTAATCCGCTCAGGCGGCTTCTAAATATTATACGTAATTACAGTGTATGCATTGAATTATGTCTATACATCATCGTCAAAGGTTTCCGACATCAACGCCGGGTCATTATTAGGTATAAAGTGTATCCATATGCTGAAAGGCTAGTTCCAGATCCAGCTGACGAAGCGAAGAGGACCGGTCTTCTTGACTTCGGGTTCCTCGGGGTATGCATCAGCCTGTTCAATGGCATCATGGAGCGGGATGTTCTCCAATGAGATGGCTTTGGTCTTCTTGACGAACTTGTAGATCAGGAAAGCCAGCGTGACAAGCGGGATGTCCCTGCGCATTGATCAGTAAGAACCGCTAACCAGCGCCTCGACGGGGCGGGATTGCCGCAACTTACAAGTATGAAGAGACGAAGCCGGTGGCGCTCCAGTTGCCCTTGGTGAAGACCTCGAATCCGCTGGTGAACAGGATCAAGATGCACATGAACAGCGCAACGTGCGAACTGTAGACTAGAGTTTCTCTTCGTCAGCAAAAATATAAACAAAAAAAGAAGAAAGAAAAAAAAGAAATCCTTGGCGGCGGAATCCGCGAATACTTACAGGTCCACGAGTTGTTCCACGGCAGTCTCTTGAACTCGATGCCCTGGATCCTCAACGCTTTCTTGAGGCGGATGTGGTTGAGCAGAATGGCGGCCCACGACACCAAGACGCCGGCGGAGGTCAGGTCGACGAGCCACCAGAAGACGGTCAGGGCGCCGTTGGACAGGCTCATGAAGCTGAGGAACATGAAGGCCGTGAAGAGCAGGACGCAGACGTAGGGCGTGCCCCACGAGGTGGTGCGGAGGAAGACCTTGGGGGCCTGTCCCTTGAGCGCGAGAGCGAACAGCACGCGCGTGCCGGCGAGCAGGCTCTGGTTGGAGGCGGACCAGGCCGAGGTGACGACGACGGCGTTGACGACGCTGGGGATGGCGGGGATGCCGGCGGCCGAGGCGGCGATGACGAAGGGGCTCTGGGCGGCGGTGCCGGAGGCGTCGTCGAGGCGGGGGTCGTCGCTGGCGACCAGCATGCCGACGACGAGGACGGCGAGCATGTAGAAGAGCACGATGCGGGCGAAGACGCGCTTGCAGGCGCGGGGGATGGCGCGGCGGGGGTTCCGGGTCTCGGCGGCGGCCATGGCGAGGGACTCGACGCCGGCGAAGGAAAAGACGGCGCTCGTCATGACGCCCCAGTAGCCGAGGAACTTGCCCCAGTCGCCGGTGGCGATGTGCTCGACAAAGGGGCCGGGGCTCTGCCAGTAGCGAAAGCCGATGCGCGGGGTGCCGGGGGCGCCGCCGAGGTCGATGACGAGGCCGAGGACGATGAGGAAGACGACGAGCAGGACCTTGAGCAGGGCGAAGACGAACTCGACCTCGCCGAAGACGCGGACGAAGGCGATGCCGACGACAAAGGTCAGGAGGATGAAGACGACGATGAAGACGGCGGGGTTGGTGTCGGTCCAGAACTCGAAGAGCACGCAGATGGCGGTGATCTCGGAGGGGATGGAGAGGACGTTGCCGTAGACGAGGTTCCAGCCGATGGCGAAGCCCCAGGCCGGGTCGACGAGGAACTCGGCGTGGCGGACGAAGGAGCCGGTGACGGGCAGCAGGGCCGAGACCTCGCCGAGGGCGAACTGCACGGCGCAGACGATGAGGCCGACGGTGGCGTAGCCGAGCAGGGCGCCGAGGGGGCCGCCGGTCTGGATGGCGCCGCCGAGGCCGAGGAACAGGCCGGTGCCGATGGCGCCGGCGATGCCCAGCATGGACAGGTGGCGCTGCTCGAGGCCGCGCTTCAGGTCGCGGTCCTCGGTGGCCGTGACGAAGTCGCCGTCGTGGTCGTCGTGGGGCTCGAACGGGCCGCCCCGAGGGGTGTCGGCGACCGAGGCGGCCGAGGCGGCCGAGGCGGCCTCGAGATCCTCGGACGTGATCCAAGCGTGGCGGGTGACATCGGCGATGCCCGGCGACTTGGCGCCGGGGAACGCAATGGTCTCGGTGCTCATCGTTGTCGCGGCTTTCCCTCTGTCTCTCTATCTCACTCACACACACGCGCTCTCTCTCTCTCTCTCTCTCTCTCTCTCTCTCTCTCTCTCTCTCTTTCTCGCGAGCGCACCTCTCTGTCCTTTTCTCAGCTGCGTCCTTCACCGAGGTCAAGCTGACGGTGCGAGGATGAGATGAGAGCGGGACAAAAAGAAAGCCGACCGCGATAAAGACCAGTCCGAAGGACTCGTGACGAGACAAGGATTATGTAATCTCCGCTATCTCTCGCCGGTTCCGCAATCGCACAATGAGTGAGAGCGAGAGACCGGGGGGTGGGTGGAGGGGAGGTAGACAACGCAAGGAAAAATGTCGCCGTCTTATCGCGACCTCGATCCGGCAAGGTGAGATTTGCTCATTTGATGGTGCCATCACGCCAAGCGGGGTCGAGATCCACCCGCACTGCGAAAAGCACGTTCCCAACGGCCGGCCGTGAGCCATCTCAATATTGTTTCGTTTGTATAACTGACTCATACGGCCGAGAGATTCGAGACTGGTTTTCCCTCCGACGCCATGATGCATGATGATTCTGGCTGGGCCTTGTTGCTTCTGTCAACTGGGTTGCTCATCCGGGCCCCGGGCGCCCGCTGAGTAACGAGCAGGGCCCGTGGCGTGACGCTCAAGTTTGGTCGAGCTTCTTCAATCTTACATGCATGCCGTTCAACCCGACAGCGTTCCCGATCCCTGTCACTACACCGAACGCTCGACGCAGTCGACTCGGTTGAGCTGACTTGACAAATACAACTTGACAGCAAGGTCGCCAACTTTGGGAAATAATTATGCTGTTTTAAGTTCGACAGCTCTCGGAGGAGATCTTTTGCTGCGGGTAGGTCGTTGCTGTTCGGTTGGTGCTCATCGCATCACCAGACTGACTATCAAAGTCGAATGCTTGTGGAATGTGTATGCATGGTACCGATAGAATGATTAAATTAAGCTATAAGATACAGGCAGCTGTGTAGAAAGGAAGTCGTCTATATCTGATCAAAGCAGTATGCACTTGAGAAACACAGCCGAAGGACCGGCGTACGTTCAATCATCACTCTGAGCGGCATATGGATAATCAATTCTTTCTCGATTCCTGGGGCGAGAGAGGCCAGGCCCTTTGACCAGTTAGTGAGCGAGGAGCACAAATAAGCTGACGAACTCTGGCGAGATCATCTTCGAGGGCTACTATAATGCCATTGTTGTGGTTGTGAACGGTTGAGCAACTATATCCCAACATCAGTGTACTTGATCGCCAAACCCAACAGTTAGATTCAAAAGAGACATTCGGGTTCTTAGACCATAGCACTTTACTATTGAGAATTATAACCAAAAGCCGAGCAATGAAGACATGGTTATACGGGGTCCAATCGCTCTTGAAGAGGAGGAACAAAGAGCCCTCATTGTTTTTTTTTTTTTATGACCTTCTCCTTATCCAGAGTCTTGAACTCGGGTGTAAGGAATCGGACTGGGTGATGGGAAAAAGAAAGTGAGAGGAAGTTGCTCCTGATGGCTGATAGACATGCGGTCCATATCTCCTCAACAACAGCTTCGCGTGACATGACAGCAAGAGCTTTGTCATCAGGTTTCTGTCGGCGAACCAACATGGGCCCCCCAACGTGGATATGATGACGCCCGAATGACGCGGTTAAGTAGAAGGCGGTAAAAGGCAGTTTGGCCCCCGGCAAGTGCTCGTCAGGCGACGGAGGCGACGGGTGCAGCGCGTCAAGCCTGCCAGAACGAGCAATGTTCACCGAGGTCTGCTCGAGCAGAAACCGCCCAGGTGTCTCGTTCGGTGGAAATGGTAAGGGGGGCGGGCTTGTTTGCCTTGCAAAACTGCCGACGCAGCGACTGACAGAGAGGACAGAGAGGATGAAAGGGAACGGCATACATAGACCATACGTGGCTGCATAAAAAGATTGGATGCAAAAGATAAAATGTTCCGAAACCGAGAATCGAACTCGGGGCTATGCCTAACCTCTCACACGGTGAGAGGGCATCATGTTGGCCACTACACCATATCGGATGTGATGAAGATTTTGCTTCCTTTTATGCACTATAATGGGATGGACACCAGTGAAGCCCTTAACCTCAACCCTCCCCCACCCCCCCCCAGCAACTCCTCAATCTTCCAGTTTAGACCACTAAGCCTGCGACAATGAATCCGCACGCCCACCAGGCATGATCCCAGGTTAGCGCGACGCTCAGTATCCCGCAACCAATACACAAGCGGGCGAAGCTATCGGGATTGGAGAGGCTTTCACCCCTTTTCCCACTATCTCCCGACGAGTCTATTGTCAACCAGCACCGCCGGGGGTGTCGGGGGAAGACCCGGATCGGTTCGACCATCTCAGCCGCACATCTTCGCTCCATGACCCCCCCCCCGAGGCGAGCGCAGCGCAGAGTTACCGACTCCTCTAGAGCTCACTACTGTCCATGTTTTGGGACGCGACGCAGCAGCTAGAGCGAAAAGGAAACGCGAGGGCCGGACATCCTCTCGGACGCCCGGCGAACGGACCTCTCCCCCCTTCCCTTCTTCCCACGTGACTCTGGGTAGGCAGCTTCGACTGCACTTCACCCCGACGCAGATACGATACACATCGGATGGCTAAGTCGAGCAGATGCAACTGTGCTGTGCGTGCAGCTGCCAGACTTTTGCATACGTCGGATGGCTGGCCCAACAAGAACCAACGACAGGCCATGGCTGCATGCCTCGCCCTCGAGCTTTCCAGTAGTTGGGGAGAAAAGCCTGCATGCAGGCAGGGCTTGTTCCTGGACTAGGTGCTGTGCATGTCATCAGAGGCTGGTCACGGAGAAAGTCAGTCGGGCAGAGGCCCGTTGGGGCGTCCTGCCGCGTGAGGATTGTGATCATGCTTGTATTGTGTGGGATGGGCAGCATCACAGATGCCTTGCGGCCATCACTCGAAAGACAAGAATCCGCCCATGGCCCGGCGAGCTTGCGCCTCACCGGGCCCGTTATACAAGTGCCCGGCCTCCCCACGGCCGGCGCGCGCTTCTTGAGCTAGCTCGGACAGCACAGCTGCATGCATATGCAGCAGGAGACGGCCATGCTGAGATGGCGTCGCTTTGCTAACCATCCGTTTCCCATAATCAACCTTCGTTCCCTCAAAGGCGAGATCGTGATCCAAGTGGAAAAGGACATCGTATACCATGAGCTCGTATGTCCCTGACCTCTCTGGGTCAACAGTCCAGTGAAAAAGGAGAAGAAAAAAAAAGTGCCAAGGACGCAACGCCATGCTCGCATATGTGCTCGGAGAAACCCCAAGTCGTCGAGAGATACGGCCGCCTCTTCGAACGGGCGAAAGAGAGTTTCCAATCCGACATAATTCAACGAAACAACAACAACAGCCATCGAATAATCCCATCCACGCGTACAAATGCAGGTAGAGTGTAGTATTTTTTTTTCCGAGTCCGACGGTGCCCTTTTTACGGGGCGGTCGCTGCCGACTACCGGCGTTCGGGCTCAAAAGGGTTCTCGCGCTGGTGTGGTTGGCGCTCGGCTTCTTCGAACGGGTTATCTTGTCGCTTGCCGTGCGGCTGCCAGGCGCGCGGCGGCTTGCCCATGGTCGGGTGGTCGTCTACGTCTCCGTCAATTTCCAAGTCGATATCGTCCTCCTTGCGCTCGAAGCGCTGCCTCCTCAGGTGGAGGAAGGTGAGGAGAGCGAGAGATCCAAGAATGAGTACAGCACTGGAAACGATTATTAGCATGTATATCCAACCAACCAGAGATTGGCCAGAGATGTGGTGGTTGTTGCGGTGAGGAAGTTTTGGGGGGTGGGGGGCAAAAGCACGATCGAGGAAAGGGGCTGGTGACAGAGTGAAGATAACACGGTGAACGTACGCTGTGATGCCGCAAGTAATGCCTATGATCTTGGGCGAGTTGAAGGGCTTCTCGCAGCGAGCGGAGTCGTCACCGGAGTCGCAATCGCGGGCGACAATGTGGTTAAGTGCGCGGGCGACGGGGGCCAAAAGGCTCGTGGTGGTGGACGAAGAAGTCATTGTGCAAAAGTTCTGTTTTGTTGTAATATGATGTAATACGACTCGGTTTGACGTTGTTCGGCTGGCGTCGCCTTTGTCGGTTCCGACTCAAAAGCAAATAATTTCCGTCACGTCGCGTCGGGAGCAATTGTTGGCTTCCTTCGGTAATTCGTTTGCACGTTGCGGCTGCGCGTCGTGTCGAGTTGGTGAGTGCTTCCAATATTCCCCTTCGTCTTCTCCCTCTTCTTCGAAAGTCCTCGGTCCGGGCACGACGGGTGGGTGGGTGATGGCAGGCTCGTCTGCAAAGAGTGGATTCCCCCTGTGTCGCTTTGCTGCTGAAACCGGATTCAGTGCCCCTGCTATCGCATACTCCCGTGTCCAACCGTATCTCTTATGCAAAGGAGTGACGTCGGAAAGGGGGGAACTGGCCGAATAAGTAGTAGGCAGTTGGCGAGCGCCGAGTCTGAACGAGACGGGGGGAGAGAGAGAGAGAGAGAGAGAGAGAGAGAGACGGGCCTCGAAAAAAAAAATGCAAAAGAATGAATGGACGTTTTGAGTTGGTCTGAGAAGCAGGAAAGAACGATGGTCAGATGAGGTTGGGAGGGGTGTGGGAGGGAAGGAAGGAAGGGGATGGAGGGATGATCTATGAAGGAATGAATGAGTGAAATAATGAATGAAAGAACGAAACGAATGAATTGGGGGGGAGGGAATATGGAAAGAGTAATGTAAGGCACCTACCTTCTTTACCTAACTAGGTAGGTAGGTAGGTAGGTAGGTACTGTCAGTAAGGAGGAAGGCGAGACGAGAGGTAAGCCGGGAAGGGGCCCGGCACCTTCGAAAACCGAAAACATGGGGAAGGTGCGTGCCTTGGTAGGGAAGCATGGGAAGGAAGGCGATGCAATCTGCCACTCTGTCTATTCAGGAGAGAAGGCGCGCGGGCGTCCGTCTCAGGGTCCAGGGGGGGAAGGGGGCGAGGCAGGGCAGGCACGATGAATACGACATATGCAAAATGCAAGGACGGACCGGACGGCAGCGGCAGGAACGAATCTGCGTGCGTGCGTGCGTGCGTGCGTGCGTGCGTGCGTGCATAGGTACCGTATCCTTCCTCCATCCATCTCACTACGCAGTAACCAGCCTACCCAGTCTCTTCTCTTGCTCTCTCGCACATATTCCCAGAGCACTTGATTACCTACATTACAAGGAAATACTAGAGACAACAGGGGGAATGTGGCTGTGTTTCACTCCGCTTCGTTCTCAATCACGACGCCGACAGAGCCGGGATTGGCTGACACGATTGGTCAGTCCCTGGTTTCCTTTTAACGGTCCTTAGCCTGAAGTACCTGAACGCACCCCCAGAAAAAGGGGATTGGCGACGGGATGGTCATTCGCCCCGCCAATCAACGATCAATGCCCGCCCCGGCCCAATCTCCCCAACTCTCCCGAAGCTCTATCGTGTCCATCATCCAATTGGCAAGGTGAGAGAGCGACTGGTATGTATGATGTATCCGATCGAATTCAAAAATGGCCTGCTAAAGAAACAGCGCTTGCGGGGGAAATGCTTGTCTCATGTTTCACCTTACCAACACATTTCTCTCCCAGCGCCTGGTGCAGAGCCACCCACGAATGCAAAGCAAGCCTTCCCCTCGAGAGAGACCCTCATACTGCTTGCCTACCTACGGATACATAGTGTAGTATTTACTGATCTGCTTGTACTTCCTACTAGGCGCTTGCAGCTACACAAAAATTGGCCCTCCGACCCGTGGCTCCGAGTTTGACAAGGTGTTCATCCCGCCGCCATCTTACATGTACATCCACACGGCATCCATGCATTCAGAGTTCATACCGACCGACGCCAACCTCATCTCCGAAACGGACACTGAAGCAATGCCCATTGCCGAGCCGACGCCTCTGTCTTCCCGCAGCAACTCTTCCACCACCACACGACAGTTCCAGCATCTCTCCCCCTTCTCCTGCTCACCGAAGCAAACCGACTCATTGACAGCCCAATCCTGCGACATGCTTCACCGCATGACTGTCACAGTTCGCCCCCCTCCCCCACGAGGCATAGGGCCAACAGGAAGCCAACCAACCGGCTGCGCCTTTCATTTCGCCTACAGGGGCCTGTGTGCCAGCGTTACCTCTCAAACCCAACGAAGACGCACTGACCGGGCAGGCCATGACCGCCGAAGGTGTGCTAACAATAGACCACCACCCCTGGAGTTGTCTCTCATGGATTCTTTTTCGAATGCCGCCGCCCAGTGCCGAATTGCCGAAAGCCATCCGGGACCCTCCGCAATTCCCTTTGTCCTATGAAGATTCGCCGCACGGAGGCTGCCCTATATGGGCGGGCAGGCACGGCTCGGACGGCATGCTGTGTTGCTTGTGCCGTCTCAATTGAAGTCTTGGAGGACAATGTCTGGAGAACCCAATTATCCGACTCAAGAGTTTTGGCACCGGAATGCAACAACCAGGGGGTCAGGCCCATCATCGCCGCCAACTCAAATTTCCCTCGCGGTAAATGTGGATTATGGCTTCGGACACATTCGATCGGATAACAGAACTGCGGGGCCGTATGCGGAGGGACACGGATCCGATCTTTACAACTCGAGTGGGCTAGCGGACCGACATACGCCGTTTCCGCGCCTTGCAAATGACCCACCCATCGCCGTACCACCCCGATGATCCCGAGAGCCTGGAAGCTGGAAATCTCAAAGAATTCCCAGTAGTCGCCGGAACATAGGGTAATCATATGGCAATGCTCTCCTTATAACGACACAGACTCAGACGCAATCTCTTGCCTAAACCCCCTCAAAACGAACAACAAAGACACTCCGGCTCTCAAACCGCGTCGCAGTGTCTAAACTGAAGGGGAAATGCTTTCCCACTGACCTTGACCCGACATCAGATGGGCATGCAACGTACCTACATGGCGGGGAAGCAATCATGGGAATAACGAGAAGCAGGATAAGGAGGTGGGGGGGACGAGCGCTTTGCCTTGTTCGAAAATTAGAACGACAATTATCCATTGCGGGTGATATCCTCATTGGTGATTCGATGAAACGTCGTCGCGCTGGACTCGAAGACCAAGACTTTTTGCCACTACTCCCGCGCAGAGCCACAGGTGTTTGTAAACTGGCTCGAACAATGGCTCCCAGGGCGCCAACACCCTTGTCATGGCCCGACGCCATTATGTAACAGCAACACGGTTGTTTGATGCGTCCCAAGGTTTGGCACCGGCCTTCTAGACCCTCTTTCGAAGCTCTGTCAAAACGAAGGAGGGGTCTTTGCGAAGTCTGGACAACGACGAGACCGCGTCTAGACTCACTTTCGACCCGCCAAGAGGGTTGGTTGCGGAAAATGGATCGAGGGGGGGTGGAGGGGGGGCTCCGTTGTCGTGTAAACAGCCCCAATTCCAGGCCCGAGGAGCTTCGGAGGGTGTGGGGCGCTACGAATGTCAGCATTGAAGGCACATGTTGTTCTACATTCTTCAATGACATTGTCTTGGACATCTCCGAGGGGGAAGATGGGGTAGGGGGGGGCAAGAACGCTCCCACAAGTTGGCCGCCAGGCGATGCCGCAGCCGGAACAAGTACGAAAGTAGCAATGAAAGAATGAGCAAATCAATGAATGAATGAAAGCGAGCTGGGAAACCGGGGGAACAGGTCACTGACATGGGCAATTTTGTCTTTTTTTCTTTGTCCTCCAAAAGGAGGCCCCGGAGATGGTTTTGTCCTATTGGCAAAATTCCTCTTTCGAAAGTCAAACCTCGAGCCGGAGAGTCCCAGCGGCCTAAGCCGGGCTTGGTCATGATGACTTGCCCTCCCCTAATTAAAACGATTGTACTGGATCCTCTCCCGTTCCATGCGGCCGGGGGGACTGGAGTTGCCCGACTGTAGTGGCTCGCTCACACATGGCGCGACGTCCGATGCGTCCCGCGGAGGTGCAGAGAACTCGCACGACTTGCAGTGGCCGTGAGCGGTGTGTCGATCTGCAGGCGACCGTCATGCGCGTCACCACGAGATTTTTCTTGTATTCCTTTTTCCTTTTGCTGCAACTGGCCTAGCTTTGACCATCCCGCCGGCCGCCTCACGATGCTGTTAGGAGGGGAGGGGAAGGGGGTCGCAAAATGCGGGGGGAACGATGGGACCCGAAAATCTGGGGAGGGGGAGATGTGTCTCGTATCGCAATTGGGAAAAGAGGGCGACGTAGAAGAGGAAGGTCTCGAGTTGAGGGTTGTCTTGGGTCTTTGTGCGCGTGCGGTTTCACTCTGACTGTGGTGCTTTTTTTTTTTTTTTTCTTTTTTTCTCTTTTGCGTCTTTTAAGTGTGAGATAGGGTGGCGAGGGGGACGGCCGAGGACGATCCTACCGTCGTGGAATGGGGATGTGAGAGAGACTGGATTTTGACTTGGGAAGGGGAAGGCTAGCATGTGCGTTTGTGTCTTTTCTTCCAACTTTGGACATCAGGTTTGCAATGAACCCGTGTTTCTGTTGCCTCTGCTCGGGGAAGAAGAAGAAGAAGAAGAAGAAGAAGAAGATTTCGAGAGCGGGATATGCCATCATTAGGGGTCAGTCTGGGATCCGACGAACCGGGGGGGGGGGGCCGGCGTATTCGTGAAGCTCGTGGCGGTTTAAGATGGCGGGCCAAGACCTCCCCGTCGAAGGCCGCCGCCTCAAGCGGGTATCAAACGTTAGGCCAAGGCCATTGGCGGTGTTTGACCAGGCGGGCTTTGGGTGGACGCCGAAGTCAGTTCGTTCATTTCGGACATATTTCATTGCATTCTTTCCCTAGCTACCGTGTGAGCTTTGGCTTGTCCTGCTGAGCGTCTCAAACGGTCCGTCCGCCTGTTGTATAGTTTGGATATTGCTTCTTATGTTGCAGGTGGGAAGAAAGCGGGTAACATAATTACAACTAAGAGGGGGGGGGGGGGGGGGGAGGGTCCCGAAAATCTCCAAATACGGGACCGGCAAGGCCGTCGGTAAGCTCCGGCATGCCTCCCGGACCACCGAGTAGGGAACCCTGACCCGGCTCGGTGTCCCGGTCGAGGTGTGATGGGCGAGCGCCCGCCGCCCCGATTGAGTATCGCCGGGCCGGTATCGGCCATAACCCAACGGTGACGACATGTTCCCTCAGGGTTTCTTACAGCTATTTGGAGCGGGGGTCTTCTTTTCTCCTCCGAGGAGTCATGTCTCTGACCATCGACAGAGGGGATCGCGGAAATGAGAGGGGGAAACATTAATTAGTGGAGAAGGATGATCACTCGCGAACACGCTCACGGAGAGAGGGCTGGACCAGGGAACACACACACACACACACACACAAAACACACGCACCAGGAGCAGAATATCCATGAACAAGAACCCACCAGAAAGAGTGGACGCGGGGTTTGAGCAAGAATCCAATGCCGACTCCACGTTGGCTGCGATGCGCGCCGCAGGTATCCCGTGCAAAAAGTCAGTAGGCAACACGTTTGGTCCAGGTATATGCCAACCCCACCCCACCCCTTGCTACGTAATGTAGCAAGGCTGCAGGAACTGTGGTTCGTTGCCCGAATATGGAACGGAGCCGGGATCGGGGGTGGTCCCTGGGCAGAGGCTCTGGATCGTGACGGAACGGTTGGATCTCCTTCTTTTGGGCCCTTAGTAGTAGAACGAATTTGCATCCTGTCAGTTTGTACATAGTAGTAAAGGACAGGGGGGGCCAGAAAAATCCTTCCAGCTCGATCGCCCAGCTCCGGCTCCGGCTCCAGCTCCAGCTCCTGCTGCATCTCTGTGCCCCCCCAGTCTACAGCCGTGGCAGTGACATGTGATGGACATCAGTGGATGGCTCCAAAGAGCAATGAACCAGGGGGTGGCGATCCTCTCTCCCACGGGGATTTGTTTTTGGAGGGGAGAGTGGAAATTTTCCAGCCCTTTTTTTCGTGCTCGTACGTGGTTCATGGCAAAGCAGCAGATGAGCTGTCCTCCCTTTGGATATGCGCGGTGGCATTGCAGCTTCGAGATATGACTCTTAACGGAGATCCGCCCGGGAGCTCTTCTGGGAACCCCTCCCTAGGACGGCGTTCAGTCCGTCGTTCGTCCCTTTCCAATATGGAGAGGGGCAGAGGGGCCGAGGGGCCAGGGGTAGGGTCCTGGACAGGGTTGAAAGTGAAGACATCGTGGCCGGGAGGATCGTTCAATGATGCAAGTCGTCGGATCGAGAAAGAAAAGAAAAAAGTCAAATAGAAAAGTGAAGAAGAGAGAAAAAAAAATCCATTACTCAGTAAGCCGGTGACCCTCTTCATACGTAAGAGGAACGCTGCGAGTGGCCGTAGGGCCTTGGAAGCGGAGACGGAAACGCATGAAACCCCCGTCGCCTTGTTTCCCGTCCTGCAGCCGGGGTTTCCCCCGTTTTCTGTGTTTTTTTTTTTTTCTTTCTTTTTTCTCTTCTCTTTCTTCTTTTCACGATGCTGTTCGTGGGCCGATGGGGGGGGGGGCACGTTGCTTCAGCGGAGGACGACGTTCGCACGCCATCGATGGAAGAGGTGATGAGAGGAGAGGTGTCAGGGACAGGGGTGAGGGTTTGGGAGTTTTTTTCCCTTTCTTTCCGTCTTTTCAGACGGGGCCCGTCGTGCAAGACGACGATGGCTTTTCGTCTCGGCGGACCGTCAGCCAGAAGAGAAGCCCCCCCCCCCCCCCCCGATGACCGGGATTTGCAACCCGGTACGGGGGCCCGGAGGGTGAGAATGCACATTTCTGACGGTGAGGGATGGGAATGGCGGCGGCGGGTTCGTTGCAGTCTCGCTCGGTCTACACGGCACGTCCCAAGTTCGCTGAGAACCGGGCCGGCACAGAGACCAGAGCAGAACGGCGCGTCAGTCACTCCGTCGGTCAAGCGAGCGCTAGATTAGATTAAACCATGGAAGCCGGCAACTCTGTGCGAAAGGGGGCGGGGCGGGAAAACGCGCGACTTGAGCAGCGTTCTGCGTCTGTCTGTTGCCGTTGGCGGTGACGAGGGGAGGGGAGTTGGCGGCGGTTTTCCGTATGGCCCGGATCAGAGCAGATGTTATGTATGGTACGATGGGGCAAGATTTGGGGACCTCGGATCTGTCGTCTAACCCCCCCCTCCCTCTCGGAAGGTTTGTTTGCAACACCAAGGTTTTTTAGGTTTTTATTTTTATTTTTTTATTTTTTACCCAACGACCCGGGATGCACACTATGCTGGAACCCTTGATCGCCGGAGACGCGAAGAGAAGATGCGACGAGTCGGCGGTGGCCCTCGGCGTCTCTTGTCTGCGCCTTGGCGTCGGAGTCCCGCTTGGCTGGCTTGCCAGAGGGAGGGAGAGAAGGAGAGCCGGCGACTGACACCGGGGCAGGGCGGCCGGCGCAAGCATGTTCGCGCAAGTCATTCATAGAGACGAGGAAGAGGGGAGAGAGAGAGAGAGACCGGAGGAACCACTGCCTGAAGGGCGGTTCGCCAGCGCATAAGCCAAGTCTCGAAACTCGGCCCATCTTCTCTTCCCTTGGTGTTGGCGCCGTTCCGCGTGTTCGTCGCATGAGTCCGTTGTCGTCGTCATCATCATCATCGTCGAGTATCATATTGCTGGGCATAGGGGAGGCTGGGATACATGTCTCGCAGTCTGATGACTTTGTCCTGCTGCCGCTCGGACAAGCTTTGGGAGGGGGAGGGGGAGTCTCTCGCGCCGCGCCGATGTCCCGCGGGCACCCTGTGCGGTTGGCAGCAGAATCGTACCATCGTACCACATGGCATTGTGCGTGCCAGAATGCGGTTTTGGAGGGAGGGATTTGCATACCGACCTACGTTATTCCCGGGAGGGAAATGGTGTCATCCACAACGACGCCTAACAGCAACAGCAACAGCCAGCCGCCGCCGCCGCGTTATACCTGTACATGTCTACAATTAGTTTTGGGGTCATGGGGGGCAGGGGACGGCTGGTCTGAGAAAGTGATGGAAGGCCATTGTAAACCTAGGGAGGTAGGTTGCTGGGATCTGCCTCGACCCTGGATCTCGCCACCGTAGTGTAAACCACGTGCCAGTAGCTACAGCTCATGAATTAAAGTGTTGTTGCTTGGGATAGTACCAGAAACAACCCGGACGGAACACACGTCGAACGGGTTCGTTCCTTGCCGGGGAAGCGGACCTCGCAGACACCTTGTTGCGCAACGCACGCCGCCCACAGTGCTGTGACTGCACATTGCGTGTGCGCGAAGCTTTCCAGCCCCCGCCCGCTATTGTTGTATCGTGCGCTTCCTTCCAGTCGTCTGTCACACGTGGCTTGCGTCTTGCGTTTCCAGCGGCTCGAGGACGGCTACACGTCGTAGTAGAGTCGCAGACTTTTGGGCAGCGTCCCCGTCCGTTTTGCAAGGGGGAAGGAAGGGTTTTTTTTTTTTTTTTTCCTTTGTCCCATCGTCCATTGCGACGGTGTGTTCCCTCCCCTCCTTGGCGTTGCGCAATTGTGGAAAACCGGGCACTAATGTTGGGGTGCGCGAAGCATATCCCCTCCATCGCGATGGCGGCGTAACGGCGAGGCAGAGTGAGTGAGAGGAGAGAGAGGCTGGTTGTTCCCTGGAGCCCCGTCAGGCACAGTAATAAGTACACACACACACACACACACTATGGCTCCCACAAGCACCTGGGCGTTTGTCTTTTCCGGAAGCGGGAACGAGCGTTTGCTCCTCCGTGGGTATAGTATACCCTACAAGGCAGTGATCCAGCGGTACCATGAGATACGTATCGGGCTTTACCTGACCGCCGCCGCGAACATGCCCCCTCAAACCAGTGTTCTTCCCCTTCGGGGGGGCCAGAGTACGTAACACGTGGGCTTGCCAGAGGGCCAGGACGTCGAGGCGGTGTCATTCATTCATGGCTCAGGCGAGAGTTGAGAGCACCCGACCAAGGCAAAGGGGGGGAAAGGGGGGCGAATCGCATAGCGTTGTAGCTGCAACTTGCACGCTGTGCTATGCTATAGGCAAAAGTTGCAACATACACCAGCAAAAGGGCCAGATCGGCTCAGCACCCGTGCTTCTCGGCCAGTCGAGGGGGGGAGCGTCAGACGCTGGCGCGCGAAGCACAATACCTAGTCTTGTCAGTAGGTACACCACAGAGGTAGTGTAAGCTGTTCATTCGTACCCAGGTACGGATATGTACTTTACAACCACGCCTGGTGATGAGTAGGACTGGGCAGGGGAGCTTTGCATGGTGGCTCGGCTTTACGCGGGACCCATCGCGGGTGGAGAGGGTCCAGGCTCCTTTTTCAATTTTTTTTTCTTCGTTTCTTTTCTTTCTCTTCTATTCTTTCATCATTTGCGTCTTGTTCCAAGTCCCTCCGGCTTGTGTGGTTCGTGGTTCGTTCCCTTACATACACCTCCCGGTCTTTTGCTGGGTCCCGCGGGGCGGTATGTGGTACTGGGCGTACACTCTGGACGGAGTATCCGTACGTGCGTACAATGTACGGGATACACGCTACACACGCCGTCTAAGTACACAGTACTCTGCCATCCGGTGGTCTTCCACTCTGCCGTGCCAGTCACAGTCACAGTGGCATGGAGACAGACCATGGTAGGGAGAGATGAAGTGGCTGGACGGGCTTCGACGGCTGCTGGCGGCCTGGTCTGGCTGGACCGTGTCAAAAAAGCAGAAAAAACACACCGGAGCGGAGCTTGTGTCGCCAGGTACCCTCGAAACTCATGACACATAATTACCCCATGAAAAGCTTGAGCATCACGAGCTGGCAAGACATAATAACGCGATGGTCTTTGGCTCGAAAGGGGGAAACAGAAAGCCGTTCATACAAAACCGAGCTGTGACCACATACCGTTCTCATCCCCTCTAGATCCTCCGAACTTGTTATTTCCCTCCCTGTCCTGACGATCCCATCACCTAGTGTAGACTCTCACGAGCCTCTTACATTAATCGTCTTCTCTCCCACGGAAAACTCGTCATTCTCAATACCCAAGAAGAAGAAGGGCTTTCTCCCATATCTGGAGAACCCTAGTCGCATCCACAGCCAAGCCGCATCTCATCTCATACATACACCACTCATACACCGCATATCCCACTACGTACGACAGCCCGCCGTCAAGCGCACGGCTGCCGTCTTGCCGTCTAGTCTGACGAACGACTTATACAAAGGACAAACGGAAACCGTCGAGCTCATAACAACATCGTTTGCTCAAGCCCCCATCCTCTCGCGCCACACACACGCACACACACACACTCTCTCACGCTCACGCTCACACCACACCAAGCCCAAACCGCATCTGGCCTTGGCTGAACGCTACCGGTGCCAACAAGAAAAATACCATCACCCGCAAAGAAACCCCCAAAAAGTTGCGCCTAGTGTCTGTCACCCCGCATCTTTTGCTCCAGTCGCTTTGACCCTGTCTGTCTCTGCATCTGCATCTCTTCTCTTCTCTTCTCCCTCGAGCGCCCACGGCGGAGACGGATCCCGCCCACCAATCCGAACACGACCCAGCCTCAAAACAAGCTTCGTTCTTGGCCGCTCGACGCCAAAGAAACTCGAACGGGCGAGGCACAAGGACGTAACGCTGGACTGGACTGGACCTTGTAGCCCCTACCACCACATCACCTGGACCGGACGCCTTGCAAGGGTTCGAGAATAGCTCACTCGCGCACACAGGGCCACCCCCTCCTCCTCTTCTTCCCTTACCCACACTCTTCCCGTTCGTGTGTCGTCAGTCAAAAGTACAAAGAGAAGAGAGGCCCCCCGAGGCATCGTCGTCTATCTCTCTTGCCATCAGACGCATCCACTATCCTCCCGTCACCAACCAGTCCTTCAGTCATCAGCCGAGGAAGAAAGACATCAACACGTTAGCCCGTCACTTGCACTTACACATCCCACACCGCACATACCCGTCCCCTTGCCCTGTCAGCCGGCATTGCCCTTTGTGTACGGTCCAGGCAGGCCCTGCGCGTGCCCGCAGCAAACTCGCCCATCCTTCGGGATCCGGCAAACCGACTAATTTTGTCCTTTTCTCCCTGAGCCCCTCCCCCCTGTGCCCTAGAGAAGAAGAACGTCATACCGCCCGACATATAGTCTGCGGTTCATCCGCCCCTAATTCTCTGTCCCCCCGTCTCCCCCCCCCCCTGTCTAAGGTGTCACCCATCTTAGCCAAGGCTCAGAAATAAGAGATCAAGCACACCGCCGAGAATACCGATCCAGCAACCCCCTCGAAATCCGGGGAAGAAGAAGCGTAGCACACACATCATCCAATCATGCCCCACCGCGTAGCAAACTTCCTGCGCAGCTCGACCGAGAACTTTAGCGTTTCTGCCATTGCGAACCTGAAGAAACACAACCAGCACCAAAACAAGCACGGCAACAACGGCAACGTGCAAGACCAGGGCCTGTTGCGCAGACTGCCCCTGGACCGCCACTCGTCTTACTCGTCCGATGACGGCGAGCACGTGCCCTACCACAGCATGTTCGCAGCAGAGCCCGTCGAGCACGTCAAGGAGAAGAAGCACCACCACCACCACCGCCTCTCTCTGCCCTTCGGCCGCTCCAGCAAGGATGCGCAGGAGAACCCCCACGCCGTGCTCGACTGGAAGATCGAGAGCCCGCCCATCGTCTTCTTCGGCGACGCGGAGAGTTCCTCCGGCGCCCTGGTGTCGGGCCAGATGCTGCTCGACGTCAAGGACGAGCTGCTCCATGTCGAGACCTTGGAGGCCAAGCTCAACATCCACGTTCACCACAAGCGCCCCTTTGCCAACCACTGCGCCGAGTGCGCCAACCAGTACACCGAGCTGAAGCGCTGGACCTTCCTCACCCACCCGACGACGCTGAGGAAGGGCGTGCACCAGTTCCCCTTCTCCATCCTGCTCGAGGGCCACCTCCCGGCCTCCATCGACACCCCCATCACCTCCATCGCCTACGAGTTCAAGGCCGAGGCGACGCTCGTCAAGGGCACGCCCGGCTCGCAGGCGCCCGTGCGGTTCGAGCACAACCTGGACGTCAAGCGCTCGCTGCCGCAGCCCGAGTTCCCCCACCACTCGGTGCGCGTCTTCCCGCCGACCAACATCAAGGCCAGCGCCCACTACAGCCAGGTCATCCACCCGGCCGGCACGCACAACGTCTCGTTCCGCCTCGACGGCCTGACGACCGCCAACGCCGCCAACAAGACGATGGAGTTCTGGAAGCTCAAGAAGGTGACGTGGAAGCTCGAGGAGACCATCAAGACCGTCGCCCCCGCCTGCGACAGGCACGCGCCCGCCGGCACCCAGACGAACCAGCAAAAGGGCGTCCCCCGCACCGAGACCCGCGTGCTCGGCGAGAAGTACATGCACGACGGCTGGAAGTCCGACTACAACAGCAGCGACGGCCACGTCGACTTCGAGTTCGACTACGGCGTCGTCCCCAGCAAGCACAGCAGCAGCCACGCCTCCCGCTACGCCTGCGACATGAGGTCCCTCGACGGCACGGAGGTCTCCCACGCCCTCATGATCGAGATGGTCGTCTCCAAGGAGTGGGCGCCCGTCGGCAAGCCCCAGCTCGCCACCCAGACCGGCACCGGCCGCATCCTCCGCATGCACTACCACGTCATGCTCACCGAGTGCCCCGGCCTCGGCGTCAGTTGGGACAACGAGGCGCCCCCCGTCTACCAGGACGTGCCCCCCTCGCCGCCCGCCTACCCCGCTGCTACCGCCGCTGTCGCCGCCTCCGCGCCCGTCGTCGAATATGTCAGCCTCGAGCACCTCGACGGTCAGACGCACAACGGCACCGCCCACAGCAGAGAGGGGTCCATCACGTCGCCGTGATTTGATTTTCCACAAAAAGAGCAAGAGGGGGAGAGCGAAAAGTCCCCAGCAAGACTTAGTAATTCAGAACAATTGCAGTAATTTGGCAAGAAAAGGAGAAACGGTACGAATACAGGGAACCAACAAAAGTTAGATTTGCTTTTTTTTCTTTTCTTTTTTTACAACGCCGGGGAACAGGCATTTTTCTTTGGGAATCACGCGCATTATACCCCCCTGGTCCACGGACCGGGCGCTTGTTTTATATTCTGTTTTGTTGGATATGTTTCTACGTAGGTGGCGGGAGAGACGTAGTCGTCTCAACACACTGTGTTTGGTATTCTCCTGGGTGCTTTTTGAATGGTGAAGAGAGGAACATGGTATCCCTCAGTGAAACGGCCGTGAGTGAGAACAAAGGGAGGGAGAGAGTTGTGATTTGTATTGCGAGGCGCTGGGAGACTCTGGAAAAGAGTTTCAACGGATGATGACTATATCAGTCACTTCCCATCGCATTACGTTCGCAGTAGCTAGCTTGTCAAAGGACGACAGACACAATTACATGCAAAAAATAAAAGAAAAAATAATAAGAATCTATTTGTCCTATTACCTCCGCTTTTTGTCATGACTTTGAACCTCATCTCATACAACTCGCTGCAACATGCAAGTCGGGCTGCATGCATGGCCGGAACGTCCCCTTCTCCCTTCTGCATCGAGGCGCATCGGCTGCAAAATGGGGCCTTGAGCTGAGGTTGGCGATGGAGACGACGACAACGCCCGAACCGAAACGTCGCAGAACGATGACATGTGAAATCCCGAGTCAAGAGCCTCCATGGCCGGCAATAAGTGGCGGCAGGTACTTTTGGGCCGTCTCCGGCGTACCTTGCGGCTCGGCGGTAAGCAAGCATGCCGTAGGATTCTTTTGATTTTTTTTAGCTTCTTAATTTTGATCTTATTGGGACGGGAATTTTCCCGAAGGGTTTAGGCAGGGCAGTTGTGGTGGTTCCCGAGATCTGATGAGGCTATTTCGTTCATCTTAGCTAACTGTTACGTGACGAGAACCCCGGACCGAGAGGGGTGATGCTTGGACAAGTTGGAGACTCTGCCTGCGGGATCAAACGACGCGGGGAGGAGAGAGAGAGAGAGAGAGAGAGAGAGAGAGAGAGAGAGAGAGAGAGAGAGAGAGAGAGAGAGTTGGAAAGTCTAGAACGTCCGCATCGACGGCGGCGGGGCATCCTCGAGGTAAATCGTACGAGCCCGCGACGAGATCTTGGAGGTGAGACAGATTGGTTTGGGTCCAGGGAAAGATCTGACTTCGGCGAGATTGAAGCTTAGCTTGACGGGCTCGATTATGCTACCTAGAGGAATGGTGATACGTAATGGGGGCATTGTCACCCATGGCAAGCGCCCATTGAGAAAAACTGTATTTACCGCCTCGTTGGGGCGAGTGTTATCGCCAACGGTCCATGTTCTAGGAGATGGCGCCATCGTTCTCGAAACTGATGACGCCGAAATCTTGTCACCATTGATGCACGGTAAAGTGTCACGGTTGCAGGACTGCGTTAGTGTGTGTATGGCTGGGCGCTTCGGTCCGGCCTACGTCGCGGCCCAGCCGCCGCAGTATGCCTTTGGATGACACCCCGGGGGACATCACTTAGGTAAGAACAATCCCCATGAGTCACGTTTGGCCGAAGCCATACCCGATGCCGTGTTAGGGATCTGGCACGTCATTGCCCCGGCCGAACCACTTGGACCGGGGGGTGGTCGGGAGGGCCGGTCGTCCCAGTTCTGTTCTGAACCGAAGCCAGCCGTTTTGGATGGTTCTCGCAAGCTGTCGGAGATTATGACGATTCGCAAGCGCAAGTCGAGAACTCTGGGCTCGGCATCGGAGTCCTCCGGTTCTGGGAGACGGGGGGGGGGGGCGTGTGATGTGTGGCGGCGTGTTGAGCGTCTCGCTTCACGAGGGGGGCGCTGAGCGCACTCGAGGACGGACGGGAAGACGGTTTCCGTTACGTGATTCTATGGGGCGTTTCTGCCGAAGGTTCTCCCGGGAGGCGGGCATGGTTTTCCTCGAAGAGCCTCACAGACGCAAAGGACCAAGAGGCGTGCTGGACCAGCCACGCGTGCAACCTTCGGCGCGCCAACTTCGGAGGCCATTGGCCGATGCCGGCAAGCCCCCGAGACAGTGCATACCGATTATGTATACGATATACACTGCGAGCAACAAGTCTCGTTGGCCGACAACGGTTTGCAACGTCGCTATTCCCGTGTAAGACGGAAAGGCGGAGGGTCCGCCGCATGGATCCCCGGGGCGTGCTTGTACCCACGGATGTATCTCTTCCCCCTTGCCTTGCTTTTTGGAACCTTCTGGGGGCTCCATAGAGGAGAATTTTTCCTGAGCAATTTTTCTATTCCTTTTCCTCTTGGTTCCTTGCATGACATCCACAACGGAACCCGCTCAGCCCCATCGTCCGGGCTCCAATGAATGGTCTATTCCTTGTTTGTTCCAAGTCAGATGGATCACCGGGTTTGGGGGCTGCCTTGGCCAGAACTGCAGCATCTGCAGCATCTGCTGCAGCAGCATGAAGACCAACAATGAGGGGGGGGGAAACATCATCATCGGATGGGTTGCAGCCATTCAACGGCACAAACAAGATGATCCCGGCAACGAATCGTTGCGTCAGGAAACCCCGCCAGCCAACACCCACTTGTCAACTTGAGTTTTTCCTGGTTGCAGCATTGGCACCTCGTGAGCCGAATAAAGTGCATTTCCGGCGCAGTACCCAGCCAGGCGAACATAGGTGCATTTCTGCCCCTCGCTGGCATCCCCACCTGAGAGATCTCCTCGATCCCTCACCAATCTGGCCGGCTGGCGCAATGGTAGCGCTTCAGACTTCTACCTTCTCGTTCCCGAGATGTGGTTATCTGGAGGTTGTGGGTTCGAGCCCCACGTTGGTCATTCTTTTGTATTTTTGACACGGTGGTGCCATGAGCTGATGAAGGGGGTTTAACGACCAGTAAATGACGATTGTATGTATAGGGAGATTTTCTTAGCTGATGAGACATTGTTATGCATTTTATTTCAAGATCTGGAACGTTGGGCTTGATCATCTCAAGAGCAGCGGTTAACCCCATCTCATGACTGTGTCTATGGGAGCCCCAATATCTCTCCGTCTTGACTGCCGGCCAGTACTCCGTGGCCGCCCAGTCATGCAGGAGCTACAGCGCTCCCAATACCTTTGTACTCCGATCGATCTCGATCTCGGTCGTTCTCTTCTGTTGCCTGGTGTAAAGAATGGATTGCTTGGCAGGGCCAGGGACACGCGCCACAAATGAACATTCGTGGCCGAGGATCATGACTCTGGGGAGGAAACCAAGCTCGCGCTCGGGAAACTCATGGACAAGCTTCTGAAGACTCCGCAATTGGTACGAGTGCAATGCGCCATTATTACTAAATAGGTGGACCCTACATGGGTGATGTATCCCCTACCGCTAACAGTCCCCCATCTACAACGCCTCCAGTAGCACTATTCTGAACATCATGCATGCCCTAGATGCAACCGTATAAGACTATAAGCAACACTGTGACTGACTAATTAAGACTGTAGGAGATAATCAAACCCCTGCCTAAGAGACGGCAAAGTGACTCAGGCATACTCACGACCAGGTTGCGAATCATTTTTGAGACTATCTATAATAACTCAAATACCCTGTATATGCACCACCCCCACATCTGCACCACCATCACCACCACCATCACCACCACTATCACCACTTATTTCACCACCTCTGCCGCCCACCTATATGCAACTTTTGGCCTCACTAGGTAATTCAGATGCACTAGATTCATCTAGACTATCTATATCGCCAATATCTAGACTTTACGCCTACTAGATATTATATATAGTAGTAAAGGTACTATTAGGTAATAAGGTAACCTTTTTCCTTTTATATTACTATAGGTTATTTAATTAGCCCTTTAGCTAGTAGACCTTTTACTTTAGAAGTACCTTTCTAAATACTTACTTATTATACCTCTTTTATACTTTTTTAGATAAGTAATAAATAGTATAAATATTTAACTTATTCTTTACTAGCTAGTTTAACTAGTATAGTTAATACTATAATTTAGTAGACTAATAAGGGGTTAACTATAAGATAATAAATATAGCTTTATTTTATTATTAGCTACTAGGCTAACTAGTCTAGCTAGTCTACTAGGCCTTAGTTACTATAGAGTTAAATAAAGGCTACTATATATATATTAGCTATAGTCTAGTTAACTTTTAGTTACTTTTAATATTTTAGACTATTATAACTATATCTTTAGTCCTTATATAATAGGCTAAAAATACTTTTTTACTAGTAATAATTAAATTATTAACCTAGTTATTTAGATATTTAATTTTTTTTTAATAAATATACTTTAATAAGCTAAAGACTAATATATTTAGTAGCTAAAGAATAATAAAAAAGTATAGTAGTAAATATAGTAAATATATTTAGTTTTAGAAGTATTTTTATATAAAGTTTATTAATATATAACTATAATACTTATTTAAAACTAGTAGTCTAGTTATTTTTAGCTTACTAAGTATAGTACTTAAAATAAAGACCTTTTTTAGCTACTTAAGAGTAATCTTCTTAGTTATTTAGCTATTATTTATATATATAAAGTTTTATTCTTTATATCTAGATAAGTTAAATAAGAACTACTAGGCCTAGACTAACTTACCCTTATATATAACTAGTAAGTATAAAGACCTTTTATTAGTAACTATATACTTAATAATAAATATTTATACTTAGGATTCTAGTTACTTTTTTTAAATATACTATAATACTATAAAGCCTAGTATTAGCCTATTAGATCTTTTACTTTTTATAATACTAGTCTTATTTATATTTTATTAGTTAAATAAATAGATTCCTTAAATAATAAAAATACTAGTTAAAAGCTAAAAAAACCTCTAGATAACCTTAGAAAAATAGGCCTTTTATTACTAAGTATTAATTACTCTAAATTAATAAGTCTTAATTAATAAGTTTTACTATAGAAATTACTATATTTATTTTTTACTTAAAAGTTAATAAGTATTATAAGTATTACCTAGTATATACTTTACTAGGCCTTTTAGTTATTAATAAGTAGGTTTATTACCTAAGGTATACTAGGTTTACACTTATCTAGCTAGCTAATTCTCCTAGGCTTAGGATAGTTACTATATATAAGTATAGGTAGTATCTTTTAATAAGGTACTATAAAGCTAATATTAAAAAGTATAGTATAGTATTCTTTATCTATAAGCTACTTAGTAAATAAAATAAGTAGAATCTATATCCTAAAGTGCCTATTAGAGCTCTTCTTTAGTATATAACTTTATAATATAATAAATAATATATCCTAAAAAAATAGCGTTATTTAGTTATATATAGTAATTATTATAATAGTTTAAAAAAGGTAGTAGTGTTGATAAAGGAGGAGAAATGCATGATTTCTAGGTGGTGCAAAAGCGGGGGTGGTGCATATGCGGGGTATTTGAGTTACTAGCATTAAACGTATATCTAAATGAAGGCAATGAATAGTACAAACTGTAACCCTAACACTGCAGACAAATCGTCAAACTGCAATAAGGTATGCAGTCCATTGTTTTTTAAAGCTAAATCAAAGCCACTTTGTGTCTTCGAAGATGTGTTATGAGAACGGCACGGAAGCCCGGGCTATAGAGACGGATGGATGTCATGGGCTCGGAATCGGGAGCCAAGGGAGCACCTGGGGACTACTGGAGGGATTATGGTGCGGCTTTCCTTGGGAACACTGCTGCCACAAACAAGTCATACAAGGGGCTCGGCAGAAGTAGCTTACAGCGAGTATTAATTCCAAATGCTGGTCACAACCTGGAAAAAGGAGCCAGTTGAACTGGAAATCGTCAGGACTGCATCCACTGCCACTCTCAATACGATAGAAGTCTTTTGAGACTGACATCAAACGCATGTTACTTAGGTCCAGATTGATAGTCATTCGGGCTTTCACTTTGTTACTAAGCTTCTATGCTTTTGCGCCGTTCTTGTTCGCTCGGCGTAGGGCGCCACACACCCAGTTCATCTCCTCCCGCTTGATCACAGCACGTTATTGCACATAGGGGAAGGCGCCCAGCTATTGAGAGTCACACTACTGTGTTTCTCAGATCTTGGTTCTGGTTTAATGAACGAGCTCCCTATCAACGCGACTCCCTGAATCAAAGTCTAGTTGGTGGACTCGACTTTCCCATATAACACACTTGGCATTGTCTCGAGGAAAACCACCATTCCAACGTGCCGCAAAGTTGTACCTCGAGCCAAGAGAGGCCTTCACTTTGTTTTGGTTCCGAAAGTTCCAAGGCAGATACGAACGGCCTGTGATCATCTTTGGAGAAGCCGAGCCAGATGCTTTGATTACCATCCGCTTGGAGATGATTTCCCAAGCTGTCAAGGCGAACCTGGCCAACGCAAGACTGACGGCCCCCAGGAAACTGAAGAAGCAGCCCAATGATACGTAGTTTGCCGTGTATATATCGCTGGCATGGCACAATCCTTCTAACACCATCTAAAGTTGCAGTAGAGTAGAAGTAAGACTCGAAGAAGGTTGACCTTGGATGTTGAGAGGAGGGTCTGGGGAGAGCTAGGGATTCCGAAGCAGGTGCTGGTACAGAGGTTTCAAAAAATAGGTTGCGTACCCCTAATGGAGAGTGCTCCCAAAAAAGGCGGCTTCCCCTATCTTGACGTGGAACATCGATTAGGGTCGGTATGGGTAGTGGTTGTAACTTGGGTTGAGGACCGAAACAAGCAACACGGCTATGTGTCGTTCTGAACTGTCAAGCGGTTAATGAACCTCTCCTGTTAGCCTAGATCATTATTTCAGTTACTTACGATCAAAACTGAGCCTCGTTTGAATTGGCTATACATCCAGATTTGTGATATCTTCTCCCCCTGTTCAAGAGCAAAATACACCCAAACTCCTTTATCATGGCCCTGGTAGAATGCGAGCTTTTCTCCCGCCACGTGTGCATGAATCAACATGATACGACAGTACCAATATACCGAATACGCGGTTACACGTGGTTTGTTGCATTCCAGCATTGATATCTGAGCTGCTGGTGGACCTTGATCCAGTTGAACCAATCTGACAGGCTCTGATGGAGGAATGCACCACAAGTGATTTAAATGCAAATTCGACTCCTCGTTTCTTAAGGCAAGGCTACGTAGCTTAACACCCTGTGACTTGTCAGTATGCACCTAGTGAGAAAGTAGAATTACTTACGTCAGTCTGAGTGATAAGCATCAGGTCATCGTGAAGCCGAATGACTCTCCACCAAATGCCCTGGCATCGCTCCACGACTGGAGGTTGATCAGAGCAGCAAAAAATCACCTGCACCACACCAAGATAATTCTCGGCGACATAGACAGATTCCACGCGCCGGGAAGGGTCAGGCGTAAAAACTAACTCCGTATGATGGTTATCGCACGAATTGCTCATGGACGAAAAATATCGAACGCCTTCAAAGTCGATGAAACGCGCCCAAATCCTGGCCGAGACGCGAATGAGGGAGCTGCCGCTCTCCATCTTCGGCAGGGTTTGAGCATATGCCATGGCGTAGCGGTGCAGAGAGGGGCCCTGCAGGAGGTACTTCGCAATATGATAACGAAGTTCTTGGGGTAAGTGTGGTTCCGCTCGCCTTAGGATCGGTGACGTAGCAAACTGTAGACGGAGCCATCTGATGCGCGCGGCCAGTTCACTCGGTGAAGGTTCGTATTGGTACGCCAACGCCCTGAGGAGTGATACGCGTAATGCTGAGGGTACGTGATTGGCGCATGCGATATGGCAGCCCGTTGCCTGTCCACCAAGGTGAGGGCAGGCCCCAACGCACTCGATGAATTCAAATTCTTCAAGTATCGATGGTTTGTTAGTCATCGTCTTCGACTGCTGTCCATCGTGCATTACTACAACGGTTATTAGTGGGCTGATCGATTGTAGAAAAGGCGGAACAGCTTACTGGCAACAATATCATCATTGTCTTGAAGCTTGAAGCCGCATAGGCCACACCGTTGCGAAACACAAGGGGTGGCCATTGTGGGCATGTATGACTGAATGAGCAAAGGGACTGAATGAAAAATGCGAGATGAGATCCTGCATTTAAATGCACGGAGCTAAGGCAGGGAATTTTGTCTCAGATGATCTTCCCCTGTTGTCCGTAGTTAGAAGCTAGCAGTTGCTAGGATATATAGTTATCCGGTATTAAAGATAAAGGACTAATCCAGTCTCGCTTATCACCAGGCAGTCATCTCCTTGCATAAAGGGGAGTCTACAGACAAGCTGATAGTGTCCCCCCCCTGTCAACCCAAGAGTACTGTGCACAATAACAGCGATAAACCTCATATCCTAAAGGCTGCAGGTTCAAATCCAGTTTTCTTAGCTTTTTTAGTTCTAAAATGGCTCCGCTGGGGAGGGTTGGAATAGTATTAACCTACCCTAATTCCTACGCTGCGCTCTAGGTCAGGATAGGCCAAGACTATCCCTTTTGCCTCTAAGATAGGTAGTTGTATTATCACTAAATCCACTGTCTGCTAAGGTTTATCACAGTTATTGTGTACAGGACTCTCGGGTGGACAGGGGGGGGACACTATCAGCTTGTCTGATCACTCCATAAAGGGTGGTGGCCAGTGCTATTTAGCGCACTGACAGTCTATAGTCTACACACTTCATTCTATTATTTTGAAATATAACTAACAAGGAAAATTCTTCTATTTTATTACATAAGAACTACAGATAATGTTTGTATTGCTTCTTATCTACTACTTGCATAAAACTCAAAGAGGTTAATGGCGGGCGGTTTTATAAAAGTAAGCTGGCAGTAAAGAGAGATATCTGATTGATGACAGAGGAGTGTTGAACAGCCTCCTGAAAGGACCAATTTTGCCGGAGTTGAGCCGGTGGGCTAAGAAATTCACAAAGTCGCTGGCTCAAGGCTTCTTTCCCCATATGTAGTAGCCGTCAAACTTCTCCTTTAACTTCAAAACGTCACCCTCTGCCTTCCACTCATCCTTTTCGGTCACGACTTCACCATTCTTCCAAGCAAACTTATACCCACCGCGCATCCTTTTCTGGATCTTTACTTCCTTGGTTCGCCTTTCACTTCTCGGCGCCCTTTGAGAAGGACCAGCCTCAGGCTCAGGTTCAGGAACACCGCTAAAGGAAGTATCCGTTTCCATTGCTCGGCCTTGAGAATCCCCTGGATTGGCGTTGGATATATGTGAGTACTCTGAAAACGAAGGATTGACTACAGTCGTGTTGTCTTGGGTTGATGACTCTGGAGGTTGATTGGCCTGGTAGTAGAAGTCCGCTGGGATGCTTTGGCTCGGGACAACGGTTGCGGCGCGTAGAGGCCGGTTCTCTTTCATGAAACCTGTGAGAGACACTATGCAGTCTCCCTCTGGGGAATCTAGCGGAATGTAGGCTTGGCGACTGCCGCGAGGATAATCGCTGTCCAGGGGCTCAAGTTCTCTGTCTTCCGCGGACACGTTCCAAACTCGGAAATCTTCTCCCAACCAAGTGAACGCGAAAATTCCCTGTAGGCCGTGTCCAACTATGGCTTCTCGGGCCCTCCGCAGGACCTGAGTTTCAACTTCGTTGGCAGACTTGCCTCCACCTTTCCCTTCTCCAACCAAAATTGGATAGAGGGTATCGTTGTTAAAGTCAAGGCCTTGTACGAAAAGGTCAACTCTATACCTGTCTCGGTCCACAGATTGCTCCATGTTGACAGCATAGCCTTGAATAGCTGGGAACAGGACGCTGAATGTCGTCTGAAATGGTGCAACGGCTGCATACTCGATGTTGTGCTCTCGGTACCTCTTCAACAAGGCTCGAATGACTGGGTACTGTGAAACGAAAGAGCTCATGATGAAGATTGCGATTAGTTCCTGAATGGGAGCTAATAATGACACACGTGAAGAACAAGGACCGAGATTATTGACTGTAACCAACAGTTCTTTTATACATAAATGGATACGGCTCTCTTATCTAAATCTAACCTCTCGCAATAGTGTATCGTTGCTACGAAGCAGGTTGGGGATCTTCTGGCCGCCCGTAGCTGACGTGTCGAACCTGCATATCTTTTGTTGGTCATGACCTTGAGCTTGAGAAGGGCAATCCGTAAATGCAAGTATCAATAGAGACTTTGGTTTCGCAAGCCTTAACTGGTACTTGATTGTTTCACAGACATATCGATATACAATTCATGATGCCCCTGTTCACGTTGTCCATGCGTCTTGTTCGTTGGTCCTTGGCCGCATCTGACAACCAGTTGCGCAGTGCAGGAGATACACCAAGGTGGGTTCTAACGATTCCCCACCAATACTGGCTCCAGAACGGGCCGGTTCGGTTTGGCGAACTTAGTGGCTGAGCGTCCCCCATGTCATTAAAGTTCCAAAGGCACAGCTCTATCACCATGTATTTGGGTGGCCGACGAGCGACAGAACTTATCCGGCTTACGTCTCTGCTATCTTTTTAGCCGAATTACATACTGTGGAGCCGTGTGCCGTGTACGAAAACCTCAGAAAGCCGGTGCTATCTGATAGGCTATGCAGATTTCTTGAGGTATTAGCTTATATGCCCTAAATCCTTGTCGGAAGCCTAAGCTTACTAATTGGCTATGCGGATTTACCGAGGACCTGCTCTCTAGTAGTAAACTCCTGTCTGTGATTACAGTGTGTTTAGCTGTGATATTGATGGTGACCTTGGGTAGTAAATCCGCTGTCACGAGCCTAAAGTGTAACTATAGCTCTGGTGTAAGACCCAGAGAGCTGGGAGCCACAAAAGAGTGGTCTGTTAGAAAGCTGGGTAGTTTGATGAGTACGTTTCCCGAGCGTCCAGCACGTCTTACGTAATCGGCCTTGCTTCTTTCCTGAGCTCCTGATGACCTAAACTTCTTCTCAGCACAGAGTAGGAGAACTTTTTATTGGCTATGCAAGATTACTGAGGGTGGAATCAGAGCCATTTGATTAGCCACGCAGGTTCACAACGACTTATATACGTCTGATTGGCCATGCTGGTTTTCTGAGTGTCTACGCTGTATATTTATCGAATACAATGGTTTGTGATTTGAGAGCGCGAGATATTTGATTTGATGTACAGGACTCCCAGGTGCATATCGGACCAAGCTAAGACTTCTAGCGTGGAGCAGAAACACTTTCTATTGGCTATGCACGAATAGTGAGCGAGGCAATTGCAGAATATAAAGCCAACCATGCGGGGCTTCTGAGTGTGGGTGTGGAGTGCCATGTCTTATTGGAAGCTATATGTTTTTGATTGGCTATGCGGGATTCTCGAGTGCGTAATCCGAAGTCAGCTCCAGTCTTCTGAGAAAGGGGTTGTTGCAAGATCCTAATGCCTTGCCCAATTTATTTTATTCTGCGGGGTTTCCTAAAAAATCACCTGAGGCAACACTTTGGTCTGATTTTGGAATCAAAGGGATTGCTGTTCTGCTTCGTTCTGCTAGCTAGGCCCTTCTTAGCTCGATAGGTGAGAAAGGACGAGATGGAAGCGTTTTCAATAGTCTAACATGAGATGAATTCTGTTACTACGTATAGGATCCTTTGGAACACAATGTTCCTAGATACCTAAGCATCGACACGGCTCGAATTTGCAGTGATTGTTGCCAGTGGCAGATGGACCGGAACAAACTATTTCCTTTGCCGTAGCTAGAGCCGACCCCGCCAGACCCTCTGCTTCTGATGCCTGACCTCACGAATGTGCAGTCTGACCCAAGCACAACATTTCCAAGCGATACATTTGATGCCCAACTTATGAGCCTCTTCATGTCACAGTCGAGCATTAGCGATGCCCGAGGAGACCAGATGTCATTTTCATTCTCACATGGATTTTCAGAATGACAACTAAATAGCCTAGGCCAAAACCCCGCACGAACACCTAAAGCACAATATTTCGCCAATCAGAATAACACTACGATTTATTTTCTTGCACGAACAGAAGCTTGTGAACCCTCACGTAACAGCTGCCATGGCTTCATCGGTTCGTACAGATCAACTTTAAAATCGTCTTCGATTTCTAGCTGACGTTAAAAAGTTGGACGTTGCCAAAACAGGAGTTTTCGTCTTTATCGTAATTGCCAAAGTCAGTTTCGACAAAGACGTTACATTATATTGGAAATCTCGAAGGATGCCAGGGCGGAGCAAGATCGTAATTGGCGACAAAACATATGATGCGGAACTCGAAGAAAATAGCCACGCATCGGTACCCGCAACAACCGTTGTTGAGGTGTACGAGATGGATGTGAAGTTTACTACTGAGTAACAATGGATGGATAACAAAGCCTCTGGATGACGTCTTGTCCCTTGTTGAACGGTACCCGTATCGTTAGTTGGGTAACCTCCTTCATGGCCACTTCTCCCCAGGCCTCTTGCTGAAACACGTCCCTTGCTGAAGGTGCCGTAGGGTGTCCCCAATCAATTTCAAACTCAACAGCGTCTTCCAATGCATGTACTCGTATGCAACTGGTGGTTCTATCAATACCCCATGCCGGTGTGCCTTGCAACCGTTCGATAAATAGTGAAGTAAAAAAGTTCGCCATCTCAGCCTTGTACACATAGGCAAGGGTGTACTTCACGGGCGAAGGAGTTGTGGCCGGTACAGTTGAAAACGTTGGTGCAGTATTGCTAGCAGCTGCCTGAGACTGACAGTTCTGTTTAGGACTATGTCGCAAAGAAGTGTCGATCGATCCTGAGTTTGCTGGTCTAGTGCCATTATCGTCGTCCGACGAGGCTTCCCAGGTGTCTGAGCCCCGGTTGGCATGGCTTGGAGAGCAACTTGGTACAACCGGTCGATTCGTTTCCATTTGTTCGATGCGCCGTCTTTTCCTTGATCGAGACTCGATAACATTTGGGGGTTCTTGTATGTTGTGCGCAGCTTTGATGGCCTCAGTGGCCTCTATAGCAAAGCGAGTGAGAATAAAGATGTCTCAAGAGGGCGAGGGACATACCGAGGAAGAAGTCATCGGCATACTTAGAGCTGGAATTCCTCCATGATGTGTAGCAACTATACCAGTGACTAGGGAAGTCTTTCTCTCGGCTGAGAAACTCGACAGCTGCATTTAGTTGTTTCTCGGAGGCCGATATGTCTTCAATCTCTGTTTTAGTAAGGTACTTGGTGAGGCGAATGAAATCCGCGATGGGAATTGATTTGAGGCTGGTGTTAGGTGACGAGGAATAGCGCTGGGGTCGTAAATCCCCGCATGGACGTGATGGTAGATTCTCTTGTTTGCTGTATCTCCTCAAGAGTGAGTCGTATATGCCTCGGGCCTTCTTCTTCTGTTGCCCCTTTTTCTTCAGTCGATTAAGTTTTGCCTCTAGTTTCGCTATTTCCCCACTGTCGTCGGATGACTCTGCGTCGGCTGGTTGGTTCGGTATGTGCATGTTGGCAGGAGCTGTGGGAGAAATTGGATCTACCTGTGCAGCTTGTTGATAAAATAACAACAGTCGGATGTTGGTTTGGCCGTCATCCGGTACGTCTTAACGACGACACAAACCCGGCGCGCGACGGGGCTTGAAGTTATGCATAACCAAGCTTGGCAGATAAAGCACAAGGCACTGAGTTGGTGACTTGCAGCCCAGCCCCTCGCAGTTCATCACAACAATGTGCGAAGCGCAGTGGGAGCCCGTTCTGATGAACACCGCCGCCATTCTACTGGACCCATATTGCAAATCATGCAGGGAGAACTGACAGAACATGAAATGCCCTCGCTTAAGCACAACCAGTCCGATACGTTCATTACAATACTCGCCAAGAGGCGTAGTGAGCAGGTCTGGACCTAGGACGCAGCCTAACTATGCCATGACACACTGAACAACTTTTCCCAGCGGACTTGGTTGCCCCTACTATCCAGTGCATCAGGTTGCTATCCCGCCCCAACCGCGTTAAGCGTAGCGCTTGGAGGCTGCGTTTTAGCTATGTGGTGTGGGCTGCCGGCGTTTTTCCCACGTGCGAATGAAACAGACCTGGTTCTGCCGAGAAACTCAAGTGGCTCCTACCTCGTTTCTCGTGTCATCTCATTCGTCGTGGAACTCTGGAAGCGCCAGTGGCCTGCTACTCACAACGCTGGGATAGAAGATCGGTCCAAATCATAGCATAGAGCCGTTCATTGCAGCCGCTGAACTGCTCTTCGCATGGCGCTCGTGGGCCTCGCACTCTGGCTCAAGGATGGCTACCGAAATGACCCATTCAAGGCCGATACCCTGGTTGGTCAAGGAACGGCAAGGCGCCTTTTCTGACAAGGCCTACTACCCCTCTTTCACCACACGAGGAGCGCTTGCAGATCATCCAATTAGAAGTCGGTGGCTGAGGCGGGTCGCACCCACTCTCGTTTGTTGGTCACGTCGCATTTGACCATTTGATCTATCCACTAGCCGAAGCGCTTACGCTCTTGGTTGTGTCATACGTACATGAACCAGGGGAGGACGCTGCCGGTCTAAACAAATCCAGGATGGTTGGCATGGGCAAATCACTCGTGGACTTTCATGGTTTCCGGTCGTTCTAGGTGGCTAACATTATGATAGAAGGTCCATGAACGAACGTGAAGTGTAATATCATCTGCCAAGTCCACATTCCGGTTTAGTGTGTAACAATGCGGTCGTCTCTTGTCTCCACAGCGCCTAACATTTATATCCATATGACTGTTGGTCAGAACTTCACAGCTGCAACAAACCAATCAAGTAGTCGACAAGCTGGGACAAACAGCAATTTTGCAGCGGAGTCTTGGTTACGCTGTACTTGGGCGTATCATAATTAAATGGTTCCTCTGGCACCGGTTCATTCCTAGCCTTGGCTATAAACAGGGTGTTACAGTCAGTAATCTGACAGTAGGGTTTCTGCTAGGAATAAGCTGGGGTTAATACTTGGTTAATAGTAGTGTAGGCTTGCTGGTCTATTGATTACTTAGTGATTAGTTAGGTAGTTAATAGTTATAAAGGTAGCTTATATAGCTCTTGTTAATTAAATTACTAAGGTTAAATACTAAAAGTTATTTAAATAAATTATATTATAAGAAGTTAATTACTAAAGAGCTATAAGAGTCTATTCTTAAGTATATCTAAGTTTATCCTATATATAAGTTTATTTCTTCTGTTAGTGTATAGGGCTGTATATTTAAACTATAGTACCTATATATTTTTTATATAGTGCCTATATACTAAGTATATAGCTTCTGTATTTTTAATATATAGATCTTATCTAATCTTATTATTATATAACTTATACTATAGTTCTTTTATATTTATAGAAGTTATTTTATCTATGCCTATCTGTTAGTTCTATATAAATGCTGTTACTACTTACTAGCTACTCTACTAAGTAAGGTAATATTACTTATAACTTATTAGGTTGTAATATTAGGTCTTCTCTCTTAAAGGTCTTACTCTTAAGACCTATATAAGTAGGTTATGTCTCCTAGGTTAAGGAGTTATTAATTCTGCTTCCTAATTTACTTATAATACTAATACTATATTAGGTTATATAGAAAAATTAGGATTAAAATTAGTACTTTGTTTAGTGTATAATTATGTTTTCTAATAGTTTAGTTCTTTTAATATTATACTTTACACTTAGTGCTTTTATGCTAGTTATATTTATTAAATAGCTAAAGGGGCTAAAGTTTATTAAGGTTATAAAAACTTAAAGTATCCTTATAATAGAATAGTAGTAGTATTAAGTTATAAGTAAAGTTCTTTTTTGTCCTATTAGTTTACTGCTAATAATATATAGTATAAAGGCTAAGTAATTAGCGTTAAGAATAAGAGAAAAAGAAGAAAAAAGTAAGTAATACCCTCCTTAAGCTTTATTAGTAGCTTACTTAGATCTAATCTAAGGTAGCTAAGGCAGCTAGTTGTTTATTAAGGATTTATACTATTTATAAAAAAGTAAAAGAATATTATATAAAGATATTTATATAGGGGATATAAGAGTTAGAGGAGGTAAATACTTTAATAGCGCTTAATGCTTATAAGCGTTAGGTAGTAAGTAATCTTTAGGCTAAGGGTATTAAGAATAATATAGACTAGTCCTTGTATAGGCTTAGTAATAAGTTTACTAGTATAGGTCTATTAGTACTTAATTCTTTTAGTACTTATAAAAGTCCTAGAGTAGCTATTAAGAGTACTAGAGGTTTTTAACTAGTTCTTATAAGTTATCTTTATATCTATAGCCTTTTTATTTTACTAGGTATTATTCTTTATTATCTTTATAGTGTTTATTAATAATATATTTAACTTTATATTCTAGTTTATTTAGTTCTATAATAATATAGTTATTAGTGTTTAATCCTTATAGTACTAGTTTAAGTAGTGTAATATAGAAGACTAGGTATATTTTTATTATTTCTAGTAAGTTAAGTTTATAGTTAACTAGTAAGATTTTCTTAAGGATTTTAAAAAGTCTAAGTTTTTTATAATTAAGTTTATTACTTAGTTACTTAGTTTTAATGTTTTAGTAAATAAGATACACGCTATCTCCCTCTTTAAAGGTTAGTCCCTTAATCTTTTTCTAGTTAGTATACTTTGTTATTTGTTGTCTAATAAATTCTAGGTCTCTTAAGGCTAATTCTTAGAGTTCTTAAATCTTATTAAAGTTAGCTATAGCCTTTAGTGCCTATAGTCCTTGTTGTAGTTCTCTATATACTGTTAGTTAAAATCTATAGTTTAGGTAGAATAGTAAGTTTAAAGTGCTTTTTCTAATAGTACTATTATAGGTAAATTAGGCTATAGGTAGTAGTAGTACCTAATTATCTTAGTTATAGTTAATATAATATTATAGATACTATTTAAGTATCTAGTTAATTCTTTCTGTTTAGCTATTAGTTTATAGATAAAATAAGGTTAATAGCTTATAATTAGCTTTTAGTTATAAAATTAGGGATTTCTAGAACTTAGATATAAATAACTTATCTTTGTCTAATATAATTTCCTTTAGTAATCTATAGTTACTAATAATGTATTTTAAAAAGGTATACGCTAGGTCCTCTATAGTACTTAACTTTAGGTATAGAATAAAGTAGGTGTACTTTATAAGTCTATTAATAATAACTAATATACTATTGTAGTAGGTTTTTATAAGTAGTTCTTTTAACTTTAGGAGTTTAATAATAAAGTCTAAAGAGATAGAGTACTATACCTCTAGTAGTATTAATAGTAGTTATATTTACTTATATAGCTTATAAAGACTATTCTTGCTTTTCTTATATATCTTATAGTCCTTAATTACTAAAGCTACTTCTTTATATATAACTTGTTTATTATAGTGTTATTAAATCCTTTTAAATGTCTTTATAACTTCTTAGTGTCTATATACCTTAGTACTATATATCTTATAGATCTAGTTAGCTATTATTCTACTAGTTATACTAGTATTAGTGTATTTACTAATTATAATAAGTTTTTAGGCTAGTATAATATTACTGTTGTTATTATGTTTAAGGATAACTTGTGTTTTCTCTAGTACTAGTACTTTGTAGTCTAGTCTATAGCTTAGAGTGTCTACTCTTTTATTTTCTATTCTTTTATAGTAGATAATTTTAAAGTTATATTCTAAGAGGAATTTTAACTATTATATTTATTATTTATTAAGAACCTTTAAGGTAGTAAAGTAAGAGAGGTTCTTATAGTCTATATAAACTAACACTTAGTGCTTAGTTCTTAATAGGTGTAGTCTCTATTTCTAGAATACTTTAATAATAGCTATAAGTTCCTTATTATAGATCTAGTAGTTTAGCTTAGGTCTATAGAATATTTTTAAGTAGAATATATATAGGTAAAGTTTTTTTTTTTATCTTATTGTCCTAGTTGTCTACTTATAGTAAAGTCTAAGGCGTTAGTCTTAACTTTAAATAGCTTATCTAGGTTAAGTATTATAAGGACTAGTTTAGATCTAATAAGCTCCTTAAGTTTCTTAAAAGATTATTAGTATTCTTTAGTCTATAAGAACTTAGTGTTTTTTCTAGTAAGTTATTATATTAGTTATAAGATGTCTCTAAAGTTTCTAATAAACTTCTAGTAGAAGTTAATAAATCCTATAA